AGATTCTGAGTAGGACCTGCAATTATAATCAGAGGTGGCAGTATGTTTAATACCAGGAGGGGTGGGGATGACAGGCGGGTGACTGCCTGGCATGGATGAAGGTCCCCACCCCCTCCCTTTCGGGGGATGAATAATTTTTCTTTGTAAGGGGGGGGGGGGGTTACTTGATTTCGTGTAATCTTATATTTGTAATCTTAAGTTTGGGATTTTAATTTTGGGATTTTAAGTTTGGGGGCTTAAGTATGAGATCTTAAGTCAGTGATGTTTAAGTTTGGGATCGTAGGTTTATATTTTCTGGATCCTCAAAGAAAAATCATAATAAAAATTTGCAAATATTTATGAATATGCATCCCCGGCCCTTTTCTTTCTTTTTTTTTTTTTTTTTTTTCTCATCTTTTTTTGGAAGGGGGGGGGGGTGATTCCTCTTTTTCAATTATTGTAGAATAAAACCACTTGTAGAATGACAATCCATCGCATCCACTACCCATTCGTTCCGTGCTCGCTGTTTGCTTTCGTATGTTCATATGATGGGTTTCTGAAAGGAGCTGATACATTCAACACACATCATTCCTAGTTTTCTTTTAAAACTTTTTTTCTTCTTCAAGAACACATCCTTCACAGGTTTGATGACTATTTTTCAATGGTTTCTATGGGGGGGGGGCTTAATTCTTTCAACACACACCGTTCCCGGTCTTCTTCTTTTGAAGTCTTTCGACAGCGCATGGTTAGTATAAATCAGTAATAATGAAGGAAATTGGAGAAAACGGCTGATGCGAGAAAGATAGTCCCTGGACTGAATCCGAACTTGACAAATTAGAACACCGCAGCGAGCCCGACTCATCACGGTCATACAAAGTGACGAGGGAGCAGCTGACTTCTTGGCTAAAAAGTGCAATGGAACTGCCTTTTCGTTCTTTCTTTCATCATTTCCTTTCTTTCGTTCACTCTATTTATTCCTTTCTTCCAGTTTCCCTTTTTTCCTTCTTTTGTTCTTTCTTTGTTTCTTTCAATGGATTCTCTTCTCTATATTTCGTTCTGTCTTTCTTTCTTTCCTTCTATCTCTGTTCCATTCGTACTATCACTCTTTTCCCTTTTCTATTTTCGTTCTTTTCTTTCTTTTGCTTTCGTTCTTTAACTAATGTTCTCTTTTCTCTATTTCTCTTCTCTATCTTTCTTACTTTCCTTCTATCTTTCTTTCTTCCTGTTATTTTTCTCTCCTACTTTTCTTTTCTTTCTTTATGTCGCTCTCTTTCGCCCCCTCTCTCTATGTCTCCGTCTTACTCGCTCCCTCCTATTTGTTGACCCCTCATCGGCACTTCAACTCTGTATTTATCAACCCCATCTATATCTCTGCCTTTTAATTTGCTGTTTTATTTATGTATTCATTCATTTATTCATTTATTCATTTATTCATTTATTCATTTATTCATTTATTCATTTATTTATTCATTTATCTTTTTATCATTCAGTCATTCATTCATGTATAGATTTATTTATCCATTTATTTTGTTTGGTCCTGTCTCTCCGGCTCGTCAACTCCGCTGTATGTCTTTTACCCATCTCTCCATTTTTTTCAGCACTCACCCCCCCCCCCCCCCCCCGCTTCGATCCCAAAGATTTTTTAATTCAGTAAATGAAATTTTAATGAAATTCACAAAAGGGTCGAAATACAAAACAGGGCTTTAATTAAAAAATCAAGCGTGGTCGAAAAAGCGAGGATTATTTCGAAACATAAATACATGTATAACCTATAAATCACACAAATTCTAAACATTCTCACGTCTGGTTCTAATTTAAAAAGAAACGAAAATCGATGAATATGCAGGTCTGTTTTTAATTATGTTTTGTGGGTTAGCACTGTTCCATTCAACTTGATTATATTATTTGATGATCCAAGACCAATGCGACGTAATCCCGCACTTTTCCGAATGACATGATAACACTCCATTTATCCAATTTATGTACCTGTGTCAATTGAAAGTGCAATTGTCATATGACCGTGTATACAGCCTTTCCATTAGGTCTTCAGGTTAATTACACAGATTATTTTAGGCTAATTAATAACAGGAAACGACTCATAGATTGATTGGCGTAACTGATTGTTTTGATGACGCATTCATTCGATAGTACATGTACTATGATGATATTATCATCACCGACTAGACAAACCAATAGGCGTAAGAGACGAGGGGGTGGGGGGGGGGGGGGGTTGGTGGCTGCATCAATTTGGAAAAATACCAATATTCGGGCCAATATATTTAAGGGGCGTTGCCGCTCTGTGCCCCCATTTGAAACCCATATTGGCATGCTAACAGTTACACCTCCAAAAAAAGTTGTGACCATCTATTAAAATTTTCGACCCGAAAGACAACTAAAAATGTAAAACGAAACGTATACCAAAAAATCCATCGTTTATTAAGAGGGGTGGGCGAGAAGAACATTTGACCACTGATCGGTCCTGGTCTGGGTTTTTTAAAGTCCACAACCTTTCTCATCAATAATTTTAAAAAGTCATGTAGACGTCTGATTTATTAAGAATCTGTTTTAAAAGGGGCAAACCAATTCAACATTTTCAGGAAGGTGCATCTTTATATTACTAAGAAGTAAGGTGCAGTCTTGATAACAGTTACAGATTTGCCTTAAATCTTCGTCCGTTTCTCCAAAGACTTAACACATTATTGAAGAAAACGGAGACATTTGAAGTGCAGTACTTGGACATTCAATCTATTGTGTTGTTTTCTCCTTTTAAAGAAAATGACAAGGAAAAGGAAACAGCAACTGGATTTTCCCCTTTTTAATCGACAACATTGGCATGGCTTATCCTGACTCACATACGTAGTGGTAATAGACGGAAAATGGCAAACCACGATTTGGCAAGATAAGTACTATTCACCGATTTACTGAGATTGGTCTCTCTCTTGAACGTTGGCGTAAACTTAGGTTATTTTCTCCTTCCTAATAATGATACACAAGTGTATTTTCATGAGCCTTTTATTTCAATCTTTCTTTCTCTCCCTCTATCTCTTTTCCCGTCCCTGTCCTTTCTCTCTCTCTCTCTCTCTTAAATCTCATTCTTTCCCTATTTTATTGTCTCCCTATATATCTCTATCTTCCCTTATTAATGTTGAGTTATATTGAAATGTAAAACTAGATATGATATAACGGACTGTCATTTTGCAACAGGGTATTCGAAGCATCCTGATGATTGTGAACGATGTCCGTAACTGTCATTCAAATAAGGCTATAATTTATTCACATACTCACTGATTGTTGATGAGATGTGCTTCACTGAACAAGGGAGGTTTACAAAACTGACGTTTTCTCTTTGAAAAGTTGCATTTTAAATTCATTTGGTGTATTTGAAGCACTCGTTGCTCTTTGTATATTTTCTTTGATACGATTTATTTTGGTTCATTTAGAAATATTGTATTTTTGTATTGTTTTGTGTGCAATGATAGCAAATAAATGACAATTTTTTAATATTAATCTCACCATAACAAAAATGTATAATGTAAACCTTAGTATTCCTCGCCCAAGCTAGAAAAAGTTATCTTTGCGCAGAGGCAGTATCGTAGCCAATGAGGTTTATCCGAGGCGCGATTATTGCTAGTTGAAAACTTATCCCAATACCCCGCTCTGACGACGTGAAATACCGTCGGCTGTAGCAATTTTTCCAGATCTCCAAGGAGATCTTACAATACAAAACAAAGAAAGATCACTCACCCCCTTCCCCCCCCCCCCCCCTCTCTCTCTCTCTCTCCCTTTTTCTCCCTCATTTTGTCTCTGCGTCAGTCTAACAACCTCTTTCTCTTTCCTTATTTGTCTTTCTTTCAACCCCCCCCCCCCAGTGGCGTAATGAGCTAAAACTTATGGGGGGGGGGGGGCAGAAAGAAGTGAGATTATTAAAAAAAAATGAAATTAAAGTGACATTGTTGAAGGTTGATGACAAAATTGTGTAATTTTTGTATGAAATGTTATTTATTAAATCCTCAAACAAATATATTTATGGTTTTCTATGAAGGTGTCACTGTGCAACACCTTCTAACAGTTATTAACAGTAAATTCTCCCAACCATTTTTGAATTTTCTCAACTGTTTTTCCTTGAAAATAAGTTATAAAACAGGCTATAAAAAATAAATCAACACTTAAATGTCTGGGATGGTATATAGAACCAATTTATTGCTTTGTGACGATTTAAATTCACCTGAAATGTAATTAAATGGTTGGGAGACTTAAAGAATCGATCGGATCAGTTTTTCCCAATTTTCATCGTTAATAATGGTCCGTTTTCACTCAAACTTTCAGACTATCTTTAATTGTACATCTAGCATTGAAGTCAATTACCTTAGCACCATTTTCTCTCATCTGAACAATGTTACCAAGTCCCTTTAATGTCATTTCAGCAACATTTGTAAATCACTATAGTATTGAATTAGAAATAAATTAGGTTTTAATTTTACTGTGGGGGCAACTGCCCCTTAAGCCCCCTAAATCTAAGAAAAACAAAGAAAAAAAATCACTCTCTCTGTCACTGTCTCTCTATATTTCTGTTTGTCTCTCTCTCGCTCTCTCTCGCGCTCTCTCTCTCTCTCTCTCTCTCTCTCCCTTTTAAAATCTCTTTCTGTATCTCTTCCCCTATTTAACCGTCTCCCTCTATATCTCTATCTTCCCTTTTCTCTCAAATACTGTAAGTAGATATATCACACAAAATTATGCAAGCATAAAACAACATGTCTTTAAGGTTTCCTGAAAGTTATATTTGTCATGAGCATTGTACACTACACTTTATAATCCATGAACTTTATGGGAAGACATGGTATACATACATGTTTACATGACAGCAACTTTTGGATCATCAAAACAAATAAAAATGTGAGTAATCTAAAATCACAGACTGCAACTGTACAAGATGTATCTTCTGTATGAGGCCTGGGGAGTGTTTCACAAAGACTAAGATCGACTTTAAGTTGGACTTAACTATGGCAGGCCATTGATGCCACTGGTTGCTCTCACCATTATGATCTTTAGATAACATTTATTCCTTCAATAATGAATTTATAAAAATAATGCAAATTCTGTAGATTTGTGACCACGATATGTAAGTCCCTTGAGAGACAGACCAGTGCCAGTAAATGGTGAGAGCAAACAATGGCATGAACGGCCTGTCATAGTTAAGTCCAACTTAAAGTCGATCTTAGTCTTTGTGAAACACTCCCCTGAACCCCAAAGGCATCAACTCATATACTTGATCTCAAGAGTTAATGCCGTTTGGCTCTAAACAGATGATGTACTACAAAGATACACATACATGCATGTGTATACTGCCCTTCCCTGATGAAACAGCATAACTGACATTTCTTGCAAAATTGAGTTTTTAAGTGTGGCTGACTCAGAACATCAAGTTCCTCATGTTTAACTAAAATTCAGGGTTTAAAACATACTGTAATTACCTATTTTGATAAGTCAACACTTCATAAAAACATTAAAACACTTTTAATAGCAAATTGAAATTCATGTTGCTTCATATATCTCGGAAACACTAAAATGTCAGTTAAGATTTTTTTGTTGTGGAAGGACAGTATAGTGCAGATACTATGTGTCATAATCATATGTTGAGCTGAAAAACATGACCCCATCTTTGCACTTTGTATGCAATATTTACATTATCCAGAAATATGGGTACAGATTTTCATGACCTACAATACACAAGTGCATGTACTTTGTGTTCAAAACTATCTCATCTAATATTTGTTTGGCTGAAATGAAACAAGATAAAAACTATTATCTCAGAAAGTTTCAGAAACACTCAAATGTCAGTTATGTTTTATTGTGGAAGTGCAGTATAGTGCAGATACTACTGTCATTATCATATGTTGAGCTGAAAAAAACATAACCCCATGTTTGCACTTTGTACACAATATTTACATTATCCAGAAATATGGGTATAGATTTTCATGACCTGCAATACAGAAGTGCATGTACTTTGTGTTAAAATTAAAAACTATCTCATCTAATATCCGTTTGGCTGAAAATGAAACAAGATAAAACATTTATCATCGTTGTATGATGTACACGTATATCACTTTCATTACGGAAATATGTCACAAAATAAAAGGTAAATATAAAACTATGCATTAAATTAAAAGAGATGCACTTCTGATCAAAATCTTAAATTCTTAATAACATCCAAAATGGAGATATACTCATCTTCAGCAGTCGATTTAACACCGTCTGCTGGGTGAGAAAAAACTTATCAAGACTAATCGATTGTCTCGTTAAATCATAGGAACTTTTGTTCATTGTATTGTAAACAAAAATTGATTTCTGTTTTCGTTACTACAGAAAAACACAAGTGCACCGTGATTCAAAGCAATTTAAATATTTGTGATTTAAAGAGCTCTTTCTATTAAACAAGTTACAAAAATGCAGTGTCATTTTATATGGTTGGGTAAAGTTTTGATATATACTGTATACCCCCAAAAAGATACTATCCCCCATATTATAAACTGCAACAAAATTTTCAATACAGGTACTGATTTCAAGATAAAAACAGTAACCGACTACGTTTACGTTTAAAAAGCATTCTGGCTTCATGATTAATCAAAACTATAGGTTTTAAACTTAGTAAAATTGTGTAAACATGGCTATGCTATGCTTTAAAAATTAATAACAGCTATTATAAAGCTGTTAGAGATAACAAACTGAAGAGGGGCTGGAACTGGCGGGGTACAACTATATATTCAACGCATACAAATCATTATCATGATGTCATCTTAGATAATGACACACAATTTTATCACATTTTTTGCTCATAGCTCCAAGAAAGATCAAGTATTTGATGGCATTTCTCTCCTCTCTTTTTTGTAGGCAATTCATTTCAGTGAGTACTACATGATATAGTATGAACCTATTACACTGAATGGTACAAATCATCATACAGAGAGTTGCATGTACAGGTGTAGATCCCCTTTTCAGAAGTGGACGAATTCTGATCATATTTTATTGAGAGAGAGAGAGAGAGAGATAGTTGTGACACGATGCGGTGTATGTGGTCATAGGCTAAATGACGAAGCTCTGAATAGTTCCCTGCCACATGCAATCTCTCTCTGTGGGAGGAAGTACATGTATTTGATGTGCCATGAACTGACTGACCAATCGGAAGCCACTTCCAGTGCCCTAACTACCTCCCTCAACCAGCTACGATTCAAAATTATGAAGGCATTTTTTTGTTCTCTAGACTAGATGTCCAGTAGTTGATCTTGATGGTCAGATAAAAGAGAATCTTTTGACTGGTCAAGCAAGCTGCTACCTCCTTTGATTCCTTGACCCTTGACCCCTCTGACCTCTGCTTCCACCCCTGTGAAGAAATAGAACAAAGAGAACAGATAGAAAGAGCAAGAGAGAGAGGGAGAGAGAGAGAAAGATAGAGAAAGAAAGAAAGGGAAAGAGTGTAAACAAAAATTAAAGAGATAACAAATATTTACCTCCATGAATTGTTTGTTTTGTCATCATATTCACTTCTTATATTTTACACCCAGGCATTCTTTGCACTTTTCATATTTTGATTTACCCTCTTATAAGTCCCTACTACAACATTCAATGAAATGAAAACAAATCCTTATCCAAAGAAGATATAAAACCATTGCACTTTTCAACTTTCTGAACATTAATGCATGCTCTGTCGCATCTTTGCACGTAAACCATTTATTGCTACCAGTATCTTTCTGGAGTCTGGTTACTGATACAGAACTTGAGGATACTAACCGCCAGGTGGATTATTCATATCTGTTTACTTCTTTTAACAAGGTGAAGGATATAAAGTTTCGCATTGTTTTTTTCGAAAACGAGTTCATTAACAAAATAAAGTTTCAATACTTTATCAAGTTTCACGGTATTGTTTTTCGAAAATGAGGTCACTTCTAACAAGTTCATTAACAATCCTAAGTTTCAATACTTTATTAAGTTTCACTGCATTGTTTTTTTTTCTCGGAAAACGAGGTCACTACTAACAAGTTCATTAACAAAATAAGGTTTCAATACTTTATTAACTTTCACGACATCGTTTTTTGAAAATGAGGTCACTTCTAACAACTTCATTAACAAAATAAAGTTTCAATACTTAATTAAGTTTCACTGTATTGTTTTTAGAAAATGAGGTCACTACTAACAAGTTCATTGACAAAATAAAGTTTCAACACTTTTCTACTTAAAAAATAGTCCAAACTTTGAGGGCTTCATTCTTCATATTTCTCTCCTTTTATGTCAAAAAGAAAAAGCAAAGCAAAACAAGTTAATTTGCATCATGAAATGAATAACTGATATCACAGAAATCTTCATTAATGTTTTTTTACGAAAATCATGTCACTGCTAACAAGTTCATTGAAAAAGAGGTTTCAATGTGCGATACACAATAGTTCACACATCACTTCTTCAGTTTTCATATTTCTCTCCTTTTATGTCAAAAAGAAAAAAGGCAATTTGATAGGGTTTTGAAATTGCATATTAATCAATTTCTTTTTAAGTCCTTGAAATCGTGTTAATCTTTCTCTGGCAAACCCATGCAAAGTTGCAAGCATGCATTATTAAACTATCCAGGTAGAACACAATCGCAAATACTTCCAAGAATTCAACTCAAGGGCAACTTTAATACCCCAATGTATATATCCACAGGAAACATGTTTGGATTACGCAATACTTTGCATGTCCATGTCTTAATTGTACATTTCATTAGGTGATGCACAAGGCTACTGAAACTGCCTTAGGTTTATTTTTCAAAATTAGTTATGATCGTGCTGTAGACAAACATGGAAAGCAGGAGAGAGAGAGAGAGAGAGAGAGAGAGAGAGAAAGAAAGAGAGAGATAGAGAGAGAGAGAGAGAGAGAAAGAGAGAGAGAGAGATAGAGATAGAGATAGAGAGGGATAGAGAGATAGAGAGATAGAGAGATAAAGAGATAGAGAGAGATAGAGAGATAGAGAGATAGAGAGAGATAGAGAGAGAGATAAAGAGATAGAGAGAGATAGAGAGATAGAGAGATAGAGTGAGAGATAGAGAGATAGAGAGATAGAGAGATAGAGAGAGATAGAGAGAGATAGAGAGATGGAGAGATAGAGAGATAGAGAGAGATAGAGAGATAGAGAGATAGAGAGAGATAGAGAGATAGAGAGATAGAGAGAGATAGAGAGATAGAGAGATAGAGTGAGAGATAGAGAGATAGAGAGATAGAGAGATAGAGAGATAGAGAGTGATGGATCACCACTTCACACACAAAAAAGTAGATCACAGCCCGATTCATATCAGGTTCACAATTAACAGCCTACTTTTCAAGTTTGGCTCACTGCGTAAACTGTACTATTTCAATAAAAAACAAACGCAAAAAAGGACGAGGGACTGAACGACTTGGGCATCAATGAGACTACCAGTAACATTATGAAGTGGGAAGGGAGACGAGGGTTGGTTGAAGTATTAAACTATGAATATGAACCCACAAAAAGTACACCATACGGCAAAGAAACCTTGCAGTGAAAAATAATGATATTGTTGACAGGAATTTTTTTTCTTCTTCAGATCGAGTGTTATTTACTAGGATGTGATATTTTGTATCTCCATATTCATCTGCATGTCCTTATTACAAAGCTCCTCTTTTTATTTTATTTTATTTTTTTAAAGCTAATCAGAACTTTTTTCACGGCCTTACTATCGCTTTGTATTCTCGTGTACCTTTTGTTAGTTTCTTGGTTCTCAAGAAAGAAAACTGAATTCCGGCTAGTGACTAGATAGATTTTTTTTAACAAGAGCAGCAAATCACTCAAGAATTTGATTTGTGCTAAATACTAAGATGTTCTAAAGTCTTTCACTTTTGATAAATCAAAAAAGAGTTTACTCTTATATATTTGATGCTCAATATAACAATGAAACAAAAAATAAATACCAACAGCAAAACAAAATAAATGTAAGTTAATGTTTAAACAAATTTCTAGTCTCATACTTCTAGAGTTCATCTTTTTCTGTAATCATACATTGCGTTATAAGGATTCTAATCAATTACAGAATTTTGTTCAAAGGCTTCTTTTTATGATTTTTAAAACCATATCATGGCTTTATTTCGAGTGTTCTAGCAGTTCAAGGGTTTAATAATCTTTTTTTATTATTATAATCTCATAAAACACCCATCCTTTTAGCATATGCTTTTAAGCCCCGCCATAAAAGTTAACGCCTGTGGGGTCACCAAGGCGATAAACAATATAAACACCTTTACCTTTTTAACTCTGGGAGATAAAATATTCTTTATTGAAAAAGAAAACAGAAAATTTGATTTAATATTCTGCAAAACAAGATGATAAAACAAAGGTTCCTGACTCTGTGGAGCTGAACATAATATGCATGGAGGTGTGATGCTAAATTAATAAGTCAAGGGGATGTAAGGGATATTTGAGTTCTTGTTTCAGAGGGCAAATGCCTTCAAAGTGCATGGTTATTGCTCTTATTCTTATTTATGACAAACCCATAATATCTGCTAACAAATTCCTTACATAATGCATAATAGCCTAGTGTTTAAGATATCAGGAGAGCTATCGCACATGGAGTAAGTTTTCATTTGCTTCGATATGCACTGTGCAATGAATGATGGGTGAGTGCAAGTGATATCACCCTGTATACCTGCAAAATCAGGCACTCCAAAAATATGACATATCACCCCCCCGAAAAGAAGATACTTTTCATCCAAATTTTTACATTTAAATATAGAGTTATGTAATACATACCCTTGGTTGCCACGGTGATTCGTGTAGGTCATGCTTCGTCGTCCTCCATCTTGGTGAACCTTAGGGCGGGGATGACCCTGAGAAGAAAAAAAATCAAAATAAGTTTATAATAATCATCCAGACTGCAAACGTGTGATCAAGCTTAAAAATGGTCAAGATATACAGGATATACATGTACAAGATATCACAACCATAGGCAAAGTGCAAATTAAAAACAAACAATAAGGGAAATCAGGGTGATAAACCATGCAGACTTAATTTGACTGTATTATTCATGATGGTTATATAAATTTTTTTACATTTTTTAACAGCATACGTTAAAGTGCAACAACCTTGGAAGAATATGAGAGAATCCAGTGTTCAGGGGAGAGACCTCCCAAATAATAATAATAATAATAGCTCACATTTATACTTTGTTTCTAAGCGCAGCATATATTATTACCCCGGTCATCGGATTCAGGCTTACCCGCAACACAATGTATGCACATTTTCCACTCCCTGGGGAGCATTCTAACCTTGTTTTGCATGTTTGTTTGTTTCTTATGTTTGCTCATTTGTCTCATCTGGTTGTTCATTCAATATCAAAATAAAGATCCATATTTATTCTAGGAATGCATAAATCTTTTGTGACAAAAAAAAATTGTAATTTAATTTGCCATCTTGTTATTTCAACAATAACACAATTTCTCTCGCTATCTCTCTCTCTCTCTCTTGTTCTATATATCTGACTGTCCTGCATAAATCTGACATTATATCTGTGTCCATTCAGCTCACCGCCAACGGATACAGACTGAACATAAACTAATGCATTTACTCTGTATGTACGCTGATGATATGCGCCATTTACACCCGGACACCGGTTCCCGATCGGTGCATGGCCGTCGGGATCGGGTTCATAAAAACTCTTACATCGCATAAAAAATAAATAAATAAAAACAAAAAAACAAAACAAACAAACTCTGACATCACTCAGGGCTATTTTGTGGTGATAATTGCATCAGTAGAGTTCTTTAAAACAGTTTCAGCAAACCCTGATAGTAGGGCTATGTACACAATCATGAGAAAAACATCATTTGCAATCATCTACCACATGAAAATCTTTCTTCTGTTTTGGGGATTTTTCTCCTGTTTTGCGTTTATATAAAAACTGGGCAAGCGTCAACTCCTTAGAACTATAAGCTAAGAAAGATAACCAACAGTCTTTTTCAAGACTACACCAACAGTCCTTTTCAGGACTACACACCCTCAAGAAAGATTACCAAGAGTCCTTTTCAGTCTTTCTCAATCCTCCCTCTCTCTCACATGGTGCATCCGCAAGCCTACTGTATATTCATTTTTGTTGTTGTAAACTTTCTTTCTTTTTTTAAATTACGTGGATGGTTCTTGTCTGAAAAATCATTTAAACTTGATGGTGATTTCTTTTTCCAGATCACGATAAAAAGATCCAAAGATTTGGCTGACAAATCAATTCAATGAAAGTCAACAAAAAGTTGGAGAAATATCACTACAAGTTAAGTTGTTGAACGTCATAAACTTCTCTTGAAAACAAATTTAGGGCTTTCTCTGTCCATATGTTTAGCTGGTTGTGCACCACTCACATCAAGTGGTGCATGTATCATACAGACCATCATTCTTTTTCACTACAGTGACGCAAGGGATATGCAAATGAATTCCAGCCTCTCACATCTTACAAGCATCATCCATGTCAACCTAATTGCTTATTGAATTGAATACATATTTCTCCTCGTATCTGGACACCTACCCCTGGACATCCACCCCCCCCCCTCCCCCCTGATAACCACCACTAGGATAACCACCCTCTAGGACAACTACCCCCTAGGATAGTTGTATAGGGGTAGTTGTCCTAGGGGGTGGTTGTCCTTGAGGTAGTTGTCCTTGGGGTATAGTAGTCCTAGAGGGTGGTTGCCTTAGGGGGTAGTTGTCCTATGGGGAAGTTGTCCTAGAGGGTGGCTATCCTATGGGGTGGTTGTCCAGGGGGTAGGTGTCCTAGAACCATTTCTCCTTCTTAGAAACATCATGCAAGATTTTATGTCGGATTCAAGAAAAAATGTCATGGCACGATTCGACCCTTCTGTAACATTGACAGTGAACGAATAAACGCATGGACACTTGATAGAGTTGAATAATCTTACCTTTGAATGACCTCGTCCACGACCTCGCCCACCCCTGTCATGACCTCTGTGACCTCTACCTCGTCCTCTACCTCTGGAACGCTGGGAGTCTTTAATCAGGATGATATGAAAGAACGGAAAACAAGGTAGGTATTTAAACAAACTTACGCGTATAGGCAATATGTTGTACACTGTATGTACGTACTTGGAACTAGAAACAAAACATTTCAGCCGAAAATCAAAGAAAACAATTAATCACTCTTTGATAAATCTCATACCTTTTTGAAAACAAGAATTAGGAATTTCTAGAACAGTATGCCTTCGAAAATAAGAAATTAGAACAGTATGCCTTCGAAAATAAGAATCTGTACCCTTAACAGGCGTTCGCAAATGCAGAGGCAGTGTAACTGGCAATACGCGGTCTCTGTACAAAAAGGCGTATACAAGTTCGCTGCTTGATCATGCAGCCATTCAAGGCACGCAATACGTGAACTCTCAAATTGCGGCACATGATAAAACAATCTTAATTTGGCTTTAGCAATAAAATGTAAAAAATGTATTAAAAAACATTCAAAAAAAAGTAAAAAGAAAAATGAAAATTGAAAAATCAGAAGATTCCAAATTTTAGGTCCTAAAAATCCTAAAAATCTGAATATTCCAGATTATTTGGAAGGGGTGGCAGGTATGAAATCTGGGAATTACTTTTTTTGGAAAAGCAAATTAATGACACCCCCTCCTTTTGTTTAAATTTCTCATACATCATTTATCCCAAAAAATTAATAAAAGGGCCGGCATCATTTCATCAAGATGAATATGTCAAAACACTTTTATTCCTGTATTTTTTTTTGCGTGACTCTAATTGTCCCCATTGAACTGATTTATTCATTATTTAATAGATATAAAAAAAATGATCATGTCTCTTCCCAACTCCAGTTGCTCTTCCTGTCGCTTCAGTTGCAGCAGTGGCACACCTCAAATGACATCACAAAGAAACATGAATGGGATGAAGGGGGGATTGGGGAGGGGGATGGGGAAGAGAAAGGGATGGGAAGGGGGAGGGAGGGAAGAAGGAGAGATGGGAAAAAGGAGGGAGGGGAGGGGAATGGGAGGGAGGGGAAGGGGAGGGGAAGGGGATAAAGGGAAAGGGAGGGAGGGAGGGGAAGGGAGGGAGGGGAAGGGGAGGTGAAGGGGATAAAGGGAAAGGGAGGGAGGGGAAGGGAGGGAGGGGAAAGGAGGGAGGGGAAGGGGAAAGGGGAGGGAAAAGGGGAGGGGAAAGGGGAGGGAAAAGGGGAGGGGCAAGGGGGGAAAGGGAGAGGGAAGGGAAGGGAGGGAGGGAAGGGAGGGAGGGAGGGAAGGGGAGGGGTGGGGGGGGGGTAAGTGGTAACATAAAAATAGAGAGAAAGAAGGGATCACAGTTTCATGCCTACCTTGAAACATGCCGTAATCTGCTCTGCTGTAATCGTAAGGCTCTATGACTCTCTCCTCCGCTTCCCGTACATATTGGTTGCCATGGTGATGACCTCTGTCTGCTGCCCCCGTGTCCCCCATGCTCCTCCTCTCAGCATGTTCTCCCCTGCGATCCTTCTTGGGCCTGGGTGTCTCTCCACTCGGATTGGCAGAATGCTTTCTCTTCTTTGCAGATGTGTTACCCTTTACAGATTTTAAAAGGGAAAAAAAATGTTTTTAAGGCAATCTTAAAGTCATCATTTAACAATGTTAAACAAGGCCCAGCATCTGTTATCAGTGTCTGTGATATGGTGTAATATTGAAGCCCTAAAAAAGTGTGCTTCAAAATGATCATGAAGTGCCTCAAGAAAGTAAAAATCTGTTAGTGACAGGTTGTACCATACTCATTTTACCCAATAGACTGTACTGTCACGAAAACTGTTAGGAAAACGCAAAATTTGATTTCGATTTTCAATCATAAATATCTTGATAATCAGACATGCGATTGGCTTGTGAAAGTCATGGGATTCACGTATGACCCAAAGGTTTATAATTATGAATGCAGCATGAGCTAAATTTTCTTAAAGGATCTGAGACAGTTGCCGAATCCCTTTCAACTAGTTGCCACAGAAAAGGCCACAATACAGAAGTATTATGGTCTGATGTGAGCAGATAAATTAGTGCCTGGAAAGATAATTCTGGTAGTTCAGGTCCTTAGGGTTAATTTAATAGTTAACAAAAATTTAAATATGATACAAAAGGATATTTACCATCTGTCTAACTGGGACGGCTTCATCTTCGGCCTCCTCCTCCTCCTCTTGCTTCCTCTTCTTGGCAGCATCTGGGTTAAAGACGATGGGAGTTTCGTACGTTCCTGGATCCTGGTTCCGTCCTGGTTCCGTCGGAGGCTCCTTCTCCGCAGCTGGTTTGGGCGTGGCTTTCTTCATTATCCACACTGACAGAGGCTGGAAGGTGGAGATCTGGAAAGGCAAAAAAAATATCAATGTATAATTGTTTTAATATTACACAATTCCTGTCAATAATTTTGTTCCATACCGGTATGTACAATCCTACGATGACCGACTTGAATAAATGTTTAGAGCTCTACACTAGAGAACAAATTTAAAATCCATTCTTCTTAAATAAGTTAATTTCATTATGTTTTTATATAATGAGCACTTTTAATTCTCATCCTTAAATTGGCTCTCAATCTTTCAAATTGTTTCTAATGTTATTCTAGTACCTGATTCGTACAAAAGTCTAATATTAAAGTAGAGTCAAATTAACACAACATTATGCATATATACCATTATGGAGTAACACATTTAATAAGCATCCACTTCTGGGCAATCTTTGTGAATGCTAACATTCATAGTATGTAATTCTCAAATATAAATTTCAGTAGGATTCATTTCTTTGTATCTGACATCTCATTGTATCTCTAAGAAGCTAGGATACGAGAAGAAGAAGCCAGACAGGTTTACCTATGCACCACTATACCACCACCACACAATGCAACAATGTGTGACAGCCGGCTTAATTCTCGCTACCCTAAATAGGTACGAAAATCTCGAAATTCGCGAGACGAGGTAATTTTCACTCTCTCGGGTCGTCACTACGACTTCCGGTATAGAGTCCCATCCCGCTGGCGCTAGCGCCTGTGTTCGCTGTGCAGAGTTTTCACGCACGCTAAAATCGATGCCAATCAGTGTAATTTGTACAGATTATAATATGCAATGGAAAGCTTCGGGCAGAATTAGTGACTTTAGCACAAAAGGCCGTTAAACTCTACCGTGAAAGAGAGGGTTGTGATCACGAACGCCTGCACAGGAAGCTGTAATGTCGAAAAGCTATCCCATAATGCAATGCGCGTTTTCAGGATTTTCCCCGGATCTCGGCAGAATCGCTATTTGGGGTAGCGAGAATTGGATGCAATGTAAACATAAATGAAAATGCAACAACAATGAAAATAGCTTATCAATGATATCATATATCTTCCTAAGATTTGTACTTTAATTCCGAATGACTTCAATTAAAAAATCAAGTAAATATTTCTTTCCAATGTCACCTCATTTTTTTAGAGGACCCTTATTTCATATTAAAATAATTACAAAAGGTCTTTTAATGAACCCAAAGAGATGGAAAAAAGTGTAAAAATTACAAAATAAAAACTTAAATTTTTTAAGCTCATCAGTACTAATGTAAAGGAGGGATTAGACCAGCCTGCAAGGTCACTGGACAGGTAGTTATCTCATCAACTCAGCTCTCAAATAACATAAGAAAAAGAAAATTATGGGGGACCAATGGTCACCGATTAGACATTGTTTGTTATACAGAGGGCGCAAGTACCTACAAGTAGTGCAGTGGGCCTTTAACTTTATCCCATGAAAGCATAGAACACTTACACATTTTTAAAAATGCACACCTGAGCCCTGTTGCATTGATGGTAACTTTGCCATCATTGGCAACTACCATGGTAACAGGGCTCAACAGCCAATCAAAATCAAGGTTTATACAGGTATTAACCTATTCAAGGCTAACAACAAAAACAAGAAAATGTGTTATATCCCCAACACTGTTCTACATGTACATCCACATTCTCCAATAAAGAGAACATTTGAACTTTGAACCCTAGACTCACCTCCTTTGATGGTGTAGTTTTGGTATCCATGGTGATCTTGTCCGCATCCAGCACTCTTTGAGCAATCTGCCTCACTTTGGTGGACGGCAAATACTGTGTTGATGAACAAAATAGAGAATTACAGTTAAACACTTTTGCTTCACACTTTGTTAAAAATTAAGCATGTTTATAATTTCTCTTTGTGTGTCATCACAAAACTACTAACCACTCGGTACATACAGTGTACTGCACGAAAGCAAAATGAAACTTTGGTTTAAAAGGGCTGCTTCTAAGTATAACTGACCACTGAAATGGAGGATCTAAAGGAGCAGTTGGTCAGGAAAATTGATTAATAATTTAGTGACATAAATCCTAGGGGGCTTAGAACAAATACCTAACCCCCTCAACCCCCCCCCCCCCACCCGCAATACGAAGAAAAAAATCCTCTCATTCTCCCTCTATACATGTATTATACCTAAAAGCCTTAAATCAATTCAAACCTAACAAACAAAGAAAACCATAACCTAAGTCTACCAGTAACCCTATATCTCTAGATGATATGGGGGGCAGAGCAAATTTCACTTAAGCAAAATGTCAAATAGCAGGTCGTCTCAGGTATTTGTGTGTAGAGTCATAAACATAATAGGGAATAACTACACATACATGTAGAGCACAGCATACATACTTATTTAGAATTGTATCACTTGGCACTAGCATTAGGTCAATGAGATCATAAAGAAATCATTATTTTGTATCATCCAAATAGCTTTCAGATGTTGTCTAGACATTTTGAATAGATTAATGATTTTGGTGCTACCCAACCTTTTTGCCCCCTTATCTTCAAAGCCTCATCACCTCAAAAAGTAGAATACAGGAAAACTAGATTCCCCGTTTCCGATCGATTTGGTGGCATGTCTGTCAAGAGTTGGGCCATACAATTAGCCGTAGCTCGCAGAAAAATTACAAAGAAATTGATATTTCAAATGTCATCTTTTATATTAGAAATGAGCGATTTGTGGAGGACGTGAATAATCTAGCATGAACAGACACCTGCTATTTTTCAATGAATCTGAAGTAATACGTGTATATAGATCATTAAGTGATTTTCATCCTTCACATTCATGTAAGGGCCATTCTCACTTATAGCAAATCTGCGCAGTTTGGTGCGTTTTTTCTGATGTGGAAAGAAAAACCTTATTAAAGACAACTCGTGAGCAAACACTAGCTAGCAGACTAGAGGTTCTTCTATCTTTGCAAGTGAACCGCTTGCGAGTTTACCAGTGTAAATTCAATGACAAATTCCTCAGAGTTTCTCACATGACTGCTGGTATTTCCTCTGTATGTCGCGCAAAAATTTGATCCGTACGAACAATCAGCACCATTGCTAATCAAAGATGATCATTAGCTGGTCATCAGTACAAGAAATGGGGAGATAACAACAGGTGAACAATGTCCATCATTGGGAAAAATTAAATTAAATATTAATTTAAAAAAATTCTGTGATGGTTCGCCCATTATAAGAACGCAAGTTGGCTGGGATCAAAATGCTCACAAGCGCATTAACTCTGCATAGTTTACTAGTGAGAATTGCCCGACAGACTCCAACAGGAAATGGATGCGGAAGGGCAAGGTCGCCAGATAAATGGCAAAATAGAGGCATTATAATTGAACACCTGTGCAGACTATAAAACGCTGGCGTTTTTAAAAATGCATAAATATTATTTTTAAGGCAGTGAAAAATAACAGACACATTTCATGAGGCACACATTCAGAGCCATAGAAACATGACAGCCATTTGCATAAAGTGTAGGCCGAACAAAGTTTAACCAAAAAGATGTTAGAAGAAGAAATTCTCCCTCGATCATTATTGTCTTCATATAAAATAAATACTTTTAGAAGAGATTTTATCATTATTTCTCTTTGATCGGATTCTTTAAACGTACAATATATTTCCTGTCACTTCAATTCCTTCATCTATCTACTACAGTACCCTAATTTATTTACAAGAATGCACCAAATAAAATGCTGATATAAATGTTTAAAGTTAATGTACATGTACAAATATTTGAAAACTTAGTTCACCTTGGTGATTCCATAGTAATTTCATCCTAAAAAGGCTCACTTTGTGATGTCAAGTAGAGATTTAAATAAAAACTGATTCAGCCCATCGCTACTATAGTTACTTTACTCTTCCCTATGCTTCAAATAAATATATTCTTCCTCAATATTTTTGTCATTTTTTAATGAAGCCGCAATCAACCAAATATCATACTCTGATGAAAATATTACATGCTGTCACATTAAACACAGATGAATGAAAAAGAAACATTTCTACATTGTAGTTGCATTTTTTTTTAGAAGGGGGGGGGGGGGAGGTGCTTCATTATGCAGAAAATGAATGAGAAAATTAAAATTAATCAAAATAAACAGCTAGCTTGCTGAACAATGCTCCACACTAACCCACGCCAATTCCAGATCAGTAGCATGAACATTAATGAAGCTATATTTGATGATCAAAATGTATACAACTACCCATTTTCTCAACATTGCCCACAATACAACCAACATGCTTATTAATAATTCACTGCATTAATCTGTTCTGCGGCTATTGAAATTGGATTTCATTGAGGAAATATTCATCCACTCTTTAATTACCTCGCGAGAAAAGGAGCAAGCCTGTTTCATCAAAATTTTGCGATATTAATCTGTCCTACCACACTCGGTGAAAGAAAGGAGCGAGACAAGAGCAAAGAGGGGAACGTAACGCCCCCATGCTGGGGGATTGATCACCGGCAGGGTGTTACTCATGCGCCTCTCTCCCCTGATATTGCCACGCCCGGTGGGGGGCGGCTGGGGGGTAGGGGCTTGCCTGGTAGAAGGAGAGTGTGAGATCCGAGCACAATGGATGTCTCTTGATATTGGACGTCGTCCAGCGTTTCAAGATGGATTTATCGGGCTCATGATTGCAGATGTTCTTACACATACGACTTCCCCCCGACAGCATCTTGCGGCTTAGGCAATTAGAAATTTAATCAAGCTTGGAGGATAGGACTATACTGTTATATATTGCCAACGACTCTGCGCCATGCCTTAATTCCTCTCTCTTGTCTCCGTCTAAAAATGGCTACACTTAAAGTTTCTGTCTTACTCACTATCTCTCTTCCTTCCTTCTACCCTCCTTTCTTTTTTTCTCTTTCTTTCTTTCTTTCTCTCTTTCTCTCTCTCTATCTCTCTCTCTCATTCTTTCTTTCTTTCTTTCTTTCTTTCTCTCTCTCTTCTTTCTTTTTCTTTCTCTCTCTCTCTTTCTTTCTTTCTTTTCTTTCTTTCTTTCTTTCTCTCCCTCCCTCTCTCTCTCTATCTTTCTTTCTTTCTTTCTCTTTCTCTCCCTCCTCTCTCTCTCTTTCTTTCTTTCTTTCTTTCTTTCTTTCTTTCTTTCTCTCTCTCTCTCTTTCTCTCTCTCTTTCTTTCTTTCTTTCTCTCTCTCTCTCTCTCTCTCTCTTTTTCTTTTCTCTCTCTCTCTCTCTCTCTCTCTATCTTTCTTTCTTCTCTTTCTTTCTTTCTCTCTTTCTCTCTTTCTTTCTTTCTTTCTTTCTTTCTTTCTTTCTTTCTTTCTTTCTTCTTTCTTTTTTCTTTCTATCTTTTTATCTTCTTTCTTTCTTTCTTTTTTCTTTCTTTCTTTCTTTCTTCTTTCTTTCTTTCTTTCTTTCTTTCTTTCTCTTTCTCTCCCTCCCTCTTTTCCCCAATCCCGCTTCTCTCTCTCCTACCCCCTCCGAGAAAAAAAATACATCCTCCTCTTTAAATAGAGATGTAAGGAGGTCTCGTTTTCCTTTCTTTTAACAAGTTAATGCACCTGCATGGATATGTAGTCTACAATAGGACAGCTATTTCTCATGTATTAGATGTCTATCAATCAATCAGCCTATCCCACGCATACATGTACATTATTATAAGTTCAAAATAAATATTTAAAAGCCAAAAAGAGTGGTATACATTGTGCATCTGTATAACTAATTAACTATCCATCTTACATTGCTCAAAAATAGCTTCAAGCAAAATTCATCACCATTACTATAGGACAAAAAAAAGAATTTGCATTTTGTTTTCCATATAAATTTAAGCAATCTTAATCCTTTTTTCACCATTTTATATCGATGGGTTCCATTGAGGAGAATAGGATCAAAGGGTACTTTCAAAATTCAGAGCCAAAACTTGGCATGAACGTAGTTGCATTGGTATTTTAACAAGCAGGAACAGACGCCTTGCCACCCCTTCCCTAGCCCAATCTCTATCTACCACTCTCTATCTATCTATGCATTTTTTCTGTCACTTTCTCTTTTCCTCTTTATGTCCCCCCCCCCCCCCCCTCTCTCTTGATATATTTATATTTTTCCTTCCCAATTTTCTCCCAATTTTCTCTCCCTCACAATTCCAGATGTACAGTGAAACCTGTCTATAAAGACCACCGAAGAGAGACAAGAAAAGTGGTCTTTACAGGCAGTGGTCTTTATGTACAGGTGCTAATAGTACCTGTTTCAATGATAAACCATTTTCAAGGAAAACAAAAAATGGGGTCTTTGAAGACAGGTGGTCACTAAAGCAGGTTTGACTACATTTCCTCTATTTTCCACACTCTCTCTCTCCTTTTTAATTTAAATCTGTCTTTATTCCCCCCCCCCCTTTTTTTCCCTCCTCTCTCTCTCTCTCTCTCTCTCTCCTGCTAACTCTCACTCTCACACACTTCTTCCTCCTTCTTCTTATATCTCTCTCTTTGCCTGATGGAATAAACCCGGGAAATCATGCTATGCATAACAATAACAAATTTCGCATCCCACATTGAATCACGAATGATATTAATCACTCATACATGTAGGTGTGATACATTCGATAGCTGGGGCAGGAAACCGGTCAAAATTGCACTCTGTAATCACAGCATGAAACATGGAAATTAAATTTCAGCATGCATCTTCCTCAGGTTGACTGGTTAAGGTCTTCAAAGATCTTGGAGACATGTTTACTAGATGTTCACATAGAGGGCAATGTTTTGCTGCTAGCCAATGTTTTTAGCTTGCTCTTCATCAGGACACTAATTTTCTTTTTTTCCCCCACCTTGGAGATTTCAGTCAATATTTGTTTGTGTTTGATCTGTTTTACATTACACTTATAACTTTGTTTTGCAATTTTGATTTCATCTTACCAATGCTAAATAATTTCTGCAAAAGTTGATTTACAATATGTATTTTAGTTTTGTATATGCTTATATCTCTCTATATTTTAAATTTGTTTGTAAATTGAACATTTTCAGCCTGCGAGCTGCTTGTTTGATGTGTTTTTGCAATAAACCAAACCAAGATCTTTAATAGCATACTCAATGAGAGCAAAGAAGCACAGAATGACTATTCAGCTGTAAATGGTTGCATGAAAACATTCATGAGTCTCTCATTGGGACAAAAACTGTTGCATTACTTCTTGTCTGTATGTACTATTTTCCATTCTTTGCTTTTTTTAAAATTAAATTTGAAATTAAATTCTGTCAAACATAATGCAGCCTACAGTATGTTGATGTATCACAAAATAATGTTTTACTGAATTCAATACTTGTAAGGCATAAACAGGTTATTTCCATCCTTTAATGTGCTACAGTATGTAAAAGATTTTTTTATACGGTATTTCTTTTGCTGAAGTTACTGAAATCAAAATTAAAATTAAACTCAGTCAAACGTAATGCAGCCAACAGTATGTCAATGTTTCATAAAATAATGTGTTTACGGGATTCAATACTTAAAGGGCATAAACATTTTTTTAAATACTTAAATTTGTTATGTCAAAGACTTTCAAAAAATTCTTTTGCTGAAGTTACTAAAAACATGAATGTATTTTTTAAAAATCCAAATTTTATTGGGCAATTGTCAATTTTTCACACCTAATAGAAATGACGGGACTACTGATAAATCCTTTGCTATAATATATAATCATTAAACATTAATATCAACATGTCAGTGATTAAAATAATCGAAATAATAATCATTATCATCAGTAGCAGAGAAAAACGTTTTATCATCCTTGTTACCATCACCCCCAACATCACCATCACAGTCATAATGATCATTGTATCTCCATAATTACCATCATCATCACCATCACCAACAAACCATATTCAATATCACTGCAATCATAATCATCTTCAGTTCAATCCTCCTCCTCATCATTTAATGATCATGATCAATATACCCCCATCATCATCATCCATCACCATCATCATCGTAAGGATCATAAGGATCAAATATTTTATATTTATGATCACAGGATTTATCTTTTGCATCTTTTTCGTATTTAATTATATATATCTTATGTAATTTATGTATATCGTGTATATTTATTATACCATCAACTAATGAGGAGAGCCTCCAACAGAAACTCAATTTCTCTTGGTAATCGTCAGGCATTAGTTGATGGCTTTTTTCCTGTTATTGTATTTATTATTGTAATTTGTTTTCTTGTGTTCTTTGTTATTGTTATATTCCTCGAAATGAAATGAAATTAAAAATAAAATAAAATGAAATAACTATTATTAGCAGCTGTTGCAGACACACACACAAAAAACACCTCAACTCCACTGTCACCCCCACATCTCAATATGTGCCAACTAAAGAGGGAGATAGACTTTCACTTGATTCAGAGCCAATCATACGCATACGGTAGTTTGGTCAACCCGATTTGAGTGTGACACAATATGGCGACTGCTGCTTTGTTGGGCAAGCAAAAAACTAAAGAATATACGCCATGTTGTTACCCATTGAAACTAAGTTGGCCAAACTCTGTGTATAGATGGCTCTGAGTTGATTTACATTTCAAGTTAGACCAAACATGTTACATCCAAAGCGACTTACCATTTCAAAGGGATTTGCAAACAATGCCGTCAACCGTTCAATTTTCTTCTGGGCTGCACTCCTCTTTGCATCCAACTGCTCCGCGGCACCACTAGAGGGCGTGTCAAAGATCGTGATAATGGGTGCGGCTGCAGAAACCTTCGCCAAGGTCGCTGTGGAGCCACCAAAGAGACTGGAAGAGGTCATTTCAATTGATGGCCCTGGGGAAAATAATTTAAAGGAAAATAAGTTTTAAAAGCCCATATGTACTAGTTTGGCCAGGGGGATTAGACCTCAGGCTCCCTGCAAGGTCACTGACAGGTGGTCAATTAACATAAGAAAAAGGGGATCATGGGGGACCAACAGGCACTGATTAGGTATTGTTTGCTATATAGAGGGCGCAAGTAGCTACAAGTAGTGCAGTGGGGCTTTAAAATCTGAAAAATGTCCAGTAATTAAGGAAGCATATTATCTCCGACCATTTTCTTGACGTGCTAAGGAATGAAGCCGAAGAAGGTCACATTATTCGGAGTATATGGTACATGTGTCAAAGGTCGACAGTGGCCGTCCACCATTCCTTACATTAGTCGGCCAAATAGGAAAAAGGTCAATCTAAAAGTTGTAATAAGTTAATTTGTACGAAAACAGAATATCGAAAAATGGAAATAAATCAGACCAATAATAAGAGACTCATTAGGATTTGAGATCACTATTAAAATCGGTGTGAATTTCACATTGGCACTTTGGTCAGTTGATTGTGACGGAAGTCACAGACAACTCGCCTGTGTGTCTTGTATCAAAATATCATTACTCTCAGTTTTTCTCCTAAATTTGCCTTCTCCCTTGGGGCACTATTCTAAATATATCATGGTCCATTCATGGATAACATTAACAATGGGTACTCTTGATTCAAACATTTTGAAATATTGACATTTCAGTCATTGAGTTTTGAAACAATTGGGAAAGTTGTCCGTCACTATGTAACAGTGACATACTGATTCAGCCCATTTGAAGTGCCCATGCGTATAGTGACTACATCATTCTTATATTTTGTCCTATTTCATTCCAATTTTCACCAGTCTACTTCTCTGATATTTCTGCTTTCTTTAAGAGTAGCTGTCTACTACGGTTGGATTTACCTCTGACAGGGCTGGGATATTTTCTGTGAAATTTTAGATTCTCAATAACTTGCAAAGACACTCATGATGCATATAGCTGGAAAGTGGAAATATAAAGACTTCAGAGGATTTTTTTCTGGCAGCTTCGAGCGAACAGGAAAGAGGAATCTTGAATGTATACTTTATTCATAACAAAACAGGAAAAGAGTCTTTAATAATAAAACACCACTAAAGCAAATAGTTTCACCAACGTCACGGTCAAAGACCTTTATCAGACCGAAACAGGAAAAACAATCTTAGTAAAATCAAGCTCGTGCCAAGTTTACTAAAGGTCATTGACCGCCAGTCAGTGAATTCAGTAATTTTTGTTCTCAATTGTTTTTTCCTGGGTGCTTTTTCTCCTCATTATCTCCCCCCCCCCCCCCCCAATTTGTTATTGAGGCATGGCCACGAACCAAACGGAGCAAGTTTACCAGTGCATTTTTCCTATGGTGATGATAAAGTTCATCAAAAGTATTGAAATATCTAAAGAACAAATAAAGCACTTGGATCTAGACAAGGCATTTTGATCTCTATTATTAGGTAAGTGCTATGATTAATAGCACTATTAATTAATAGTTCATGAATTAGTAGTTATCTTTAAATTTTGTCGTTTTATAATTGTAAAGCACAATCAGATTTTCTCTGAAGATGAAATGCACAATAGAAGGCTAGGTTATCATTATTACTATTACCCTCTTGATGCAGATTTTATCGAACTCATGCATTATGTTGTATCTGACATCTCATTGTATCTCTATGGTATGAAGCTAGGATACAAGAAGAAGAAGTCAGACAGGTTTATCTATGCACCACTATACCACCATCACACAATGCAACAATGTGTGACAGCCGGCTTAATTGGATGCAATAAACATGACACTAAGTCCACATTCTATTAATGCAGTTAAAGATAAGTTGAGTTCTGGTCGTGCGATTGCATTGTGAAAGAAACGTTGTGGAATCGATCAGAAAAGGTTGATCATCTAGCATATAAGTATTGGTGTGAACTGCAAGGTCCTGGAATCATCAAAATGATATGAAATTTGGCCCAGTCTTGGTAAAGTAACAAGCACTGAACACAGAAATACGTATATAGGACTACACGAACATGTGGCATACAAATCGGGTCTCATTTTTAAGCTGTTACCTGCCATATTTAGAATATGAAGGCATTTGAAGAGCCATGCTTTTCAGGGAACATTTTTATCTGATGTTCTTCCACACTTGCATAATAACAACGAGAACGTTCACAAATAATTGTTCAACTCTCCCCAGAACTCAACCTTCTCTTTAAACCATCTTTATTCCAGAAAATCAGATAGCTTAATTACCCATTAACCCAATTAATATTATGCTATTAGACACTTATGTCTAAATTTAACAAAAGGAAATCTTATATCTCAGTCTAAATTTCTGGGTTAAAACTAGACTTCAGACCCAGGGTCGAGTTTAAATTTCTGTAGAACACTGTAATTAAAGTTGCCCTATTAACCTGTTAAAGTGACTCGGTAACATTGCCTCAGATTCTGAAATAAAATCATGGATTTAGCTCATGCTGCAATCATAATTATAAACCTTTAGGTCATTCAGGAATCCCATGACCTTTAAAAGCCGATCGCCTTTCTGATAAATTTCATTTTTCGTTTTCCTAATAGTTTTTATAAAACTGCAGTCTATTGGGGAAAATGAGTATGGTAAAAACCGGTCACTCAAAGATTTTTACCTTTTTGAGGAACTTCATGATCATTTTGAAGCGCCATTTGTTTAGGGCTTTAATATAACACCATGTCGCAGACACTGATCCTACGTAGGGCCATGCATCTTAGATTTAACATTGTTAAACGATGCCTTTAAATTTGCCCTATTAACCTATTTAAAAAGGCTATAAAAAGTACTGTAAACTCTGTAAGTACTACACTTACAGGATACATGTAACGTGATATTTACTGCAATCTAAATGTTAACAATTAATTCATGTATGAAACATAATCTTCTTTAGTATCGTATCTATTAATGAAACAATAGTTTCAGTTATGGGCTCTTAACGATTTCCTGGGTATCTATCCCAGACTGGCAGACGATTTGCTTTTCTTCTTCCTTCCTTCTCCGCCCCCTCATCGATTGACAACTTGATCCGATCTCTATTGATTACTTTGTCTGCCTTTTAAGGTATCAGTTATGATAGGATTTATCCAAAATCAGTCCTAATAGTTGAATAGTGTAAGAATCGGCTGTAACATAAACTAGGAAAATCAGTTTTGTAAGCGTACACCTATTATCAGTGGGCGTATCGAAACTGTGGCATCAGGAGGGGAAAAACATCTCAACATATTTGGGTCCACATACTTTTCAGAGGAATGGAACTGGTTTGTGTTACAGTCAATGACTTACTTGAGGAAGAAAAGGAGACTTCTGAGAATCTGCCTACATGCTATGCCTTTCTTGGCCTGCTTACTAAAAGCGAGGCAAAATTTCTTTCCCTTCCTCGGTCAAAAAATCAATCAGGAACGGCAAATTGCCCCACTTGCCCCTCCTTCAAATACACTAGTGCCTATCATCCTTTAGGACAGTTTAACGCTTAATACATAGCAATTGATAGTGAGGTTTGTATTAATGGGATTCAAATAGACTTCCAAAATTACCTCCCTACAACATTTGCTGCTGAAAAATTAAATGTTTTACTCCATTAAAGGTAATACAAAGTTTTGGTATTGGGTAATGAATTTGGTTCAAATGAACATAATATAAGCATATGCAATCTTACAATATTCAGTGATCGTTGTCGCGGTTAAAATCGAGTCTAAAGTGATGAAATTGTAAATAATAAACTCTTTATGTTGTATAGCGCCCTCTCAAGGTCAAGATATTAATTTAGCTATAAAACAATGTTATTTGACTAAAATCAACCGATTTGCTATTACCGTTTGGAATATATAGATCAGATGTGCATATTCTGAGATTGTTATGGTCGCAGCTACCATTGTACGGCCGAAGGCGCTATTTCAAATTTATCAAAATTTACTGGGAGCACCGGTAAATATTTATATTTAATTTTTCTCGAAAGCAGAAGAGTTTTAGGGGCTAAATTTTTTAGTGCTTATAATACATCCATAGGGGCATCGAAAAATATCAAAATTGTTCAGAATCACTATCCAGCCAAATTTCAAAATTTACCAAAACTTTGTAATACCTTTAAAAGGATAATAGTTTGTATGCTTATACAAACTGTTTTCCCTAGTTTATGAACTTATATTCCAATATGGCATAGAGACAAAAGCTATTTTAATAACCATGTATCCTGGATGCTTTGCATGTTTTAGAGTCAAATTACTAAAACACTTTCCGCACTATGGTATGACTAGTGTAAGCAAAGGTCACTGGCAAGTGTAAAAGGAAATGCAGTGTGATCTCGGTTATTACTTGGATAAAGAGACAATTTCTAAAAAAAGATATTTCGAAGAAAAAACATTGTGTGAAGACTCAACAAAACTACAAAAATAACAGGAAATAGAAATTTATTTATGAACTTGTATGGGAAATCTTGCTTTAAAAATTGCAACATACAACATACATGTGTCTTGATAAATCAAATTTTCGGTCAACCAGAATATCTACTTTAGAACAGGCTTTCGATTTTTTGAATGATAACTATTCATCTTTTCATTGAAAAAGGAACCATGGTGTCATAGAGCAGAGGTGTCATCTCTTATAAACTAACGCCCCATGAAACAAACATTATTTTGCACCTGTTTAAATAAATAAATCACAAACTTTGCTATTTTTGTATAAACACTCAAGTTATCTAGAAATTGACTTGAACAGGTACTTCACATATATATCTCTTAGAAAATAATGAATCATATTTTGTTGAATTCCAAGATTCAAAATTCATATCACTTGGTCCCTTACCAGAGAGGTCGTTTGTTGATCTTTGACCTTCCTGGTGCACGTTGTTGTCATGGGGACAGTAGAGCAGGCTCTCCAGAGGGTCAATGAGAGGTGCGGAGAAGGTGTTGGTTTTGGAGGCAAACACCTCGCCCTTTTTAACCTGTAAAAGAAACAATAATATGAATCTCATTGTAAAAGTGAAGAACATAACCTTTGAACACAATCAGTAGTTTGCTAGCAACTTTCCAAAAACATTTGAGGTTTAAAATATTACAAGTACATGAACCTGTAATTTAGCTTATGCTAAGCAAATAGGCAAAGCAAACAATAGCATTTTAAACTTGAAATTACACTTCCCCTCTGAAAGTATAACTGTCATAAAAGTTTTGGAATGCGGTCATAAATTTTGTTCAAATGAACATATTGGAAGCATATGCAATCCTACGATATTCAATGAACGTTGTCGCGGTTAAAATCAAGTACAAAGTGATGAAATTGTAAGTAATAAACTCTTTAAGTTGTATAGGTGTCCCTCTTAAGATTGATATTACTTTAACTTTAAAATAATGCATCAGGCTACTTTGTAGCCAAGGCATAACACTGTTTCTTGACTAAAGTTGACCAATTGTCTATTCCCGTGTTTGGAAATTGTATATCACAACTACATACTCTGAGATTTTCATGGTCGCAGCTACCACTCTATGGCCGTAGGCGCTATTTGAAATTTACAGAGAGCACCAATAAATTTTGATATTCAATTTTTCGAAAGCAGAAGTGTTTTAGGGGCTAAATTTTCTAGGGCTCAAAATACATCCACAGGGGCATCCACATATATCAATATTTTAAAGAATCACTATCCATCAAATGTTCGAAATTCCCCACAACTTTGCATTACCTTTCATATATATCTATCCCACGATAAATACAATGGAGATTATATCTCTCTCTCCTCTCCAACTTCCTAAAACTGTTTGCATGTATTATGAAATTTCAATGTATTATCTGATTGTTATACTCATTGTATGATTTATGATTGGCTTAAATAAATAATAATTATAATAATAATATAGAGTTATTCAGAGCCTTACCTTGCCCTCCTTGTTTGCCTGGTAACCTCTCGCTTCTAAGATAAAGTGATAGATTTCATTGATGTTCTGCTTGACCAACGGGGGTACCGGATTGCAACACGCTAGGATGCCACCTTGGTCCCTGGATATGGAATGAATGAAAATATTAAAGACATCGTTTAACAATGTTAAATCTGAGATGCATGGCCCTACGTGCTATCAGTGTTTGTGATATTTGAAGCCCTAAAAAAATTGCGCTTCAAAATGATCATGAAGTTCCTCAAAAAAGTAAAAATCTTTGAGTGACCGGTTTACCATACTCATTTACCCCAATAGACTGTAGTGTTATGAAAACCGTTAGGAAAAGGCAAAATTTAATTTTGATTTCCAATCATAAATATCTTGATAATTAGACAAGTGATCAGCTTGTAAATGTCTTGGGATTCATGTATGCCCTAAATCAAGGATTTTTTTAAAGGATCTGAGACAAAGTTACAGACTCCCTTTAAAGATGTATAGTTACAGGCTCTCATAGGGAAATCAACACCACTTGGGTGTTTACCCGATAACGTGTGTTGTCAATCGCCAGGATTAGCCTTCAGTTTCATGCTCTACAGGCCTTTTGCAATGTTCTGTATTTTCCACCCAATCCCCTAATTGGTAAAGTCATTATCTCACTTTTCCCTCACCCGAAGACTCTCCCAAGAGACGAGGGGGGTATTTCTTGATAGGCCTACAGGGTTGCTGTGTGCAGACTTGTACACCCCTTAATGGTATTCCACCAAGTCTGGTGTCAGTAAATGATGACCTTCTTCACATGGAAACTGAAAACCATCTCACTTTAAATTTTGATAAAGCCATGGCTCCTTTCCTAATTTCTACAAACCAGACACAGATTAACCTGGCTCAAAATTTTCAATGTATTAGTCAATAATCCTCACATAAATGAAATAAGGATAAATATTTTTCATAAAATCTTAACAATCTTCATCAACTATGTTTCAATAAAAGACCCCCACCCCCCCCCAAAAAAAACACAACCAAGTCTAAAACACTTTCTTATGAACCATTACATATTAAAGATGTCTCAATACTAAGTATCCACAGAAGCATAAAGAGAAACCTTTAAAAAAAAAACTTTTAAAAAAAAGAGGGAAAACATGCGAGCCGCCATCTTGGAATTTGATTACAATGGGAAAAAAATGCATGCCTACATTATAATCCGAAATGGCGGCTCGCATGTTTTGCCTCTATTTTTAGACTATTCTATCAATTTCAAGGTTATTAAAAGAAACTAAATATCAACAAACATGGTCTACAACAACTCCAAATGACAAAAAAAAATCCCAGCTATGCATGCTTTTTTAGCATTTGATAGCCCAAAACTTGAACATTTTCGGCATTTAAAGAAGAAAAAAAAAAAAAAAAAAACTGCCGATAAGAATTTATTATCCGATTTCACCTGATCGGCCAACAGGGTTGCCTATAACATTTAACTAGGGTTTTAACTCAAAATGTGAAAATGCCTATATTCAAAGAGCATTTTCAGCTCCGGAAATTTGAAAAAAATGTATCTGACATTTCTATCTCTGCTATAGTATGAAGCTAGGATACAAGAGGAAGAAGCCAGACAGGTTTATCTATGCACCACTATACCACCATCACACAATGCAACAATGTGAAACAGCCGGCTTAATTGGATGCAAGAAGAAGTAAAGACATATTTTTTCTATGGACTGACCACATTAATCTACTTAAAGGGCAAGTCCACTCCAAAAATTATAAGTGCATTATAAGCCTCACTAAAATGTCTTAAGCCTCCTTGGAGTATAAAAGCCTTGCTGACACTTCGCAAATGTTTTGAATAGAAGTCAAATTCTTATTTCCAGGTGTATTACTAATATCTCTCACAATTTGCTTATTATACTCTTTTGGAAATTGCAGCCGATGTGTCTGAATCCAGTTCTACCATAGAACGCAATGACAGGAACCACACAAAATCGTCTTATACAAATATTGACTGCTCATGAGGATGATGGTGGGAAATATCACTCCCAAGGTGGTGTTTACACCGGCCCTTCTATCACCCCCTCGGCTTCGCCTCGGGGGTGAAAGAAGGGCCGGTGTGAACACCACCGAGGGAGTGGTAGTTCCCACCATCATCCGATTACAGAGCAGTCCATATTTGTTTTATATACCTCATCCTTTTTATTGATTCATGATTAGGTCTAGCTGTAGGTCTAGACCTAGCTCTAAAAACAGGAAACGAGATCAAGAGGAATTTACTAACCCAAATAAGAAAAATCCAACATCAAGTCCAAGGCAAGAGTATTGAATTCCTACGCGCTGCGCGTAACCGCGCGATTGCGGTAGCCTAGCAACTCAAAAAATTTGTGTGCGCAACTAATTCGCGGGAGGGGTTAGGGGTCCTATCCCAGGGTTTGATAGTAGCTATCAAACCCTCTGACGTAATGATACTTGATAGATCGAAATGCTCCTTGACATGTGATATAGTCTTGACCAATCAGCGAATGACAATCTATGTATGAGGTATATAATATATGATATCAACATTGTGTTACCCTTCCCTCAAAATTTACCATTGTGTGCCAGGCAGAAGGGGAGAAACATGGATTTTGGTTGGTAAAATTGGGGTATTTATTTGTTTTGTAATGCAGAGCTAAGAAATATTCTAGAATAAATTACATTCAATCATGATGAAAGATTTGACTGAAATGGGTTGCATAGATGTACATGTAGTCAAAGAAAGGTCAAATCGTTAAACTTTCGTACTTCTAGGAATGCTCATTGTTCAGTAGTACAGATGTGCTGGATTCTGACACACATTTGCTGGAATTGACAAAGGAAGATAATGATCAAATTTATGAGTGGTACAAGTTATAAACAAGGAGATAAGGCTTTGACTTTTAGCCACACATCCATTATCCATTATGGAGAGCCATATCATGATATGTAGCCTTAAAATAAAATATATTGAATAACGAAAAATAAAATATTTTAGACTATTTATAAATTCCACATTGAGAACATGAAATCTCCTTGATAATAGAAATTATGAATGATTTGATTCAACATCTTATGCCTTTTAAAATAATTTTACAAAATATTTTCATAGATGCTAACGGCTTTCCATAATTGTTAAGTCCAACTTAGAGATAAGTTCAACTTAGGATCTTTGTGAAACACCCCCCAGAGATTTATTTGAGCTTACTTTGGGAGTATCTCTGCTATCTGGAACAGCATGTGCATAGGAAGAATGTATCCAGTGCTCTCGTCCTCCTGCCTTGCTAAGCTGTCTCTCCAGGCAAACAACTTCTTGAAGGCATGCATCTGTTTGATGAAAATGTTAAAGATAACTAAATTTAAAGGTCAATTTATATAGCGCAGCTACTATATGAATATACTCTACTGCGCTTAATACAAGGTTTCATACAATTACCTCGGCTGTAGCTGAGTTGCCATGATAAGGCGCTAAAGCATTTCAAGGAATTAAATTCCTGCCAGGTACCCATTTACATCACCTGGGTTGAGTGTGGCAAATGTAGATCAATGTCTTGCCAAAGGACATTAGTGCCGCGGCGGGTCTCGAACAAAGAAACAACCAAACAAACAAACACAAAAAACCTGATTTAATCTTCATAAGATGCTCTGCCTTTATGCCAAGGGTCACAACTTCATTTTTGAAAAACAAACAAACAAAAATAACTGATTTAATAATTATAAGATGCTCTGCTTATATGTTAACGATCATCATTTTCTAATCTAAAAGGAGGTGGGGCGGAGTCCATCCTCTTCAAGAACAAAAATTTTGTCCTTTGTTTTTGTTTTGTTCATCTTGTTCAGTGAAAGGTACATATACGCTAAAATGCCGTTGGAAATTGCAGAGAACTACCATTTACCGCTGGTGCTTGTACAACTGTCTCTCTTCCCTGTATGCAGATAGCCAGCCTTATGCAGACATTGATCAATGACTTGTCCGAAAATGGAATTTTTTTTAAAAACAAAATTTAACATAATTTCACTAACATAAAAGAAGCACTCCCTCTCTGTCTTTTCAGTTGTAGCAAATGGTGCCAAATCAGGGCAGGGTACCTGTCTACAAAATCGACACTTACCTGTTTCTTGTTAAAGATCTTCCTGTTTTTCTGGAAGGCCGTTACGTGTGAATCATTCGTGAAGATGGGTTTGTTGTACCGCTACACAGGAATAAGGAATACAAAATTCATTAATAACACGTTTTTACATTTGAAACAGAATCGCTCAAAAATTCAAACAAACAAAAATCACAAAACTGTATTTAATTGCCCACAATTACTTGATTTTTCAACAGATAAGTCTTTTACAGAATGGAACAGTTAAGATGGGTCTATATTTATCAAAATAGTGATTCTGGTCTGTCAAAAAACACCAGGACTTTAAAACTAATATTATAACTCTCATTCACTGGCAGCGCAATTTTTGTAAATATACATTTATTTGAATTGATTCTTGGCTTTAGAAGAATAAGTCATACTAAGAGAAAAAATTTCTTTAAAGGGGAAGTCCACTCTGATATTAAGTTGTTTTCAATAAAAGCAGAAACATGAGAGAAACTAACTAGTGAAAGTTTGAGCAATATCTGATTTAAGATAGGAAAGTTATGAATTGTAAAAGTTGTCATCAGTGAAACACAAAGTGGCAACACTGTGACATATATATATATATTGCAAGCTCGCATGATTTATTTTGTATCCGACATCTCATTGTATCTCTGCTATGGTATGAAGCTAGATACAAGAGAAGACAGACAGGTTTATCTATGCACCACTATACCACCATCACACAATGCAACAATGTGCGACAGCCGGCTTAATTGGATGCAATAAACATGACACTCAAGTCTACTACGCAGTTAAAGATAAAGTTGACTTCTGCGATTGCACTGTGAAAGAAACATCGTGGATTCATTTCAGGAAAGGTTGATCATCTAGCATATAAGTATTGATGTAGATTGCAAGGTTCTGAAATCATCAAAATGATAAGAAAGTTGGCCCAGTCTTTGTTAAGTCACAAGCACTGTACACAGAAAGGTGTATATGGGACTGCCCTATAACTATCCAGTCCAGATAGATATAACAATTTACCAAATATATCAATTAGTAGGTGGTTTCCTGGCAAAATTTGTATCATCACGTATTAGTCAAAACATATTCTTTCACAGGGTTGGTAATAAGAGCTTCCATTTCATTTTTTGAGAGGGGGGCATTTCCAAAACTGGTCTATACCTCTAAGTGGATAACCAAAGCTCGCAGCTTCTTTGAACATTTATCCCCCCCCCCCCCTACCCAAATACCTCTTCAAAAAGATTTGATAGCACCTACCTGCACGCAGATCCTAGTACTTTGATCCAGCACGGCCCTGAGAAGATTCCTTCTATCATTGCCTCGTTTGATGAGTTCATTCTTCATTGTGTGGTAGATGTAGAGCAGGTAGTGGGTGTCTTCCCTTGCATAGTGCAGCATCTCTTCGGGTAGAGGCCTGCAGAAAGGAAACAAGTACCAAAAATTGTTATGTCATGAGTGCAGGTGACACCAAATACTCAATAATAATAATAAAAAAACAGTCAAACTTGTCTACAGCGACTGCCCAAGTGAAACAAAAATTTTGCTTGTTGTAGACAGGTGGTCTTTGTAGACAGGTTTCTTTAGTACATGTTTCAAAGAGAAACCATTTTCAAGGGAAACAAAAAATGTGGTCTTTGTAGACAGGTGGTCACTAAAGCAGGTATGACTGTAGTACACTTCTTCTAACTTCAACTATCGATCAAATACTATATATATCTAACCCAGCCATTAACCATAAACGTACCAATTACAACTCCAACTCTAACCCTATATCTTTGAAGATATAAAAATCAAAGCAACCAATCGGCCAAGCATAATTAAGTCAGAACGGAGAAGGATGAAAACCCAATTAAACAGTTAGTGTGAAAGCTTTGTAATAAACCTGTTTACTATATTGATGTTTTTTTTCCCTGGGGACCTAGTGACAACTTATTTCATTGAACTGCATTCAATGAATTAACAACAATATTTGGAATCCGGTCTGCATATATTACGTGTTGCTATGTCGGACAAGCCTCGGGCATGCTTTAGAGTTGTCAAGATCAACCTTCGTTTAAAACAGTATGCGTAAAATTTGAATATGGAAGTAAACCAGTCTATAGGTTCAACAAATTACCAAATCACATAAAAAACTAGAAGTGTGGAAACATCTGGGTGAATGAGTAAACAACCCCCAAAACAACCCACAAAGAAGAATTATTATTCATGACGTGCATATCCATTTACACTGTAACTCGTTAATGAACTTGTATCTGACATCTCATCGAACATCTGCTATTTTATGAAACTAGGGTACAAGATGAAGAAGCCAGACAGGTTTATCTATGCACCACTATACCACCATCACACAATGCAACAATGTGTGACAGCCGGCTTAATTGGATGCAAGAAGAAGTAAAGAGAGATGTATTCAATGGTCTGACCACATCAATCTACTTAATATATAAAAAGATGTTAAAAATTTGTTATAAATGCTCAGAACTGCGAGCATGCATCAATTAGCAATGCCAGTTGTAATGCCAAATTCCATATCACTTATTTCAAGGACTTGGTTTTATCATCAAGACAATTACAGTGAACCCGTCTATAAAGACCACCCAAGGGAGACAAGAAAAATGGTCTTTATAGGCACGTCTTTATGTACAGGTTCCTTTAGTACTTGTTTCAATGAGAAACCATTTTCAAGGGAAACAAAAAATGTGTCTTTGTAGACAAGTGGTCACTAAAGCAGGTTTGACTGGAAACTCCCTTTTACACTATTGACACTTGAACAAAATAATATAGTCTTTAATCAGACCTCAAGTCATATACCCACATACACCTTACCTTATTCTCCAGTCTGCCAACTGGTACTGTTTATCAGCCTCGACCTGGCAGTATCTTGAAAGCAGACTAGCCAGACTATGATGCGGAAAGCCCAGGGACCGTGATGCTTGGTGGGTGTCGAACATGTTAACGACGTAGAGACCCAGGTCCCTCTGTAGCCAGTCAATGTCCATGTTGGCTCCATGGAAAACCTACAGAGTAAGAAAAAAATGAGAAAACCAACAATAGTAGATATATTGATTCTGTCTCTAATACACAAGATCTGGTGGCAATAACTGAATTCCCAAACTCAATCCTGGAACAACCACTTTATATTGATATTTCAGGTTTCTAGGGACCATCCATCTCAGCCACTCTTGAGCTCATTATACTGGCTTCCTTTGAAACAAGAATAACGTTTGAATTACTCTTGTGTGTCTACAAAATACTCAATAATCAAGCTCCACAATATTTGGATTTTGAGAGGTTGTACCTGACATATCGTTGTATCTCTACTTTGGTATGAAGCTAGGATACAAGACGGAAAGTCAGACAGGTTTATCTATGCACCACTATACCACCATCACACAATGCAACAATGTGAAACAGCCGGCTTAATTGGATGCAATGGCATGGCAACACTTTTAACAGATCCATAACTACAGGCCTTATCAAAATCTGCAGGTTTATAATTATCATTGCAGGATGAGCTAATTCCAGGATTTTGTTTTAGAATCTGAGACAAAGTTACCCAATCCCTTTAACTCCTGATCCCAATATATTAGAGATCAAAGTGGGGGCACATAAAGAACCTAAAACCTTCCAGACCCTCACTCTAAAACATTAGCCCTACTGTTAACATGAAAACGGGAATGCGGAGCCATCAATATATATCAATATAATGAGATATTATAATCATTAAAGCCTGATCCTCTGGAAAAAACTTACCACTTTAATTTTATATAAACACAGGAGTCTGTAATCTCCTTGTTCAGTTAAACTTGATGCAAGGACTTCAGAACCTGATAAAGACCCTGGTCTAACTTTCTTTGTTAAAATCCACTTTAGTCCAAGCTTTACCCCAGCGTGGGGCTTTTAAGTAGTCACTCAAAAAAATCAGAAGTGTTTTGAAATGATGCAAAATTCATATCATTGTGAAGGGGAAGCCTTACTGATCAAATATAACAACTTCCCTCTTCAAAATATGTTTGGGGCCCACAGTAGTTATCTCTCAAAAATGTTAATTTTGAGATCCAGAATTTCTGCCTGCAGCGGTCCTCTGTAGAGCGTCAAGATTTGTGACGTCACACGCGAGACACAGCTAGTCACAAAATTGCATTGTATGCCTTTCCATGATATCTTTATGATTTTTCAGCAAATTTTTTGTGTATATAATTTGTCCATAATTATCAGATGCCATGAATTTTCTTTGGGTGACTACTTTAAACTTTAAAAGGATACAAATGAATTAGTCATATGCTCACCTTGACTATCTTTGGATCGGTGAAGGCATCGTTCAACATCTGGAGCTCACTGCGGAGCTCTAAGGTGTCAACGACATAGTCGTGCTCTGCTGTAGATATTTGCATCAAGCAGGTGAACCCCAGATACGACCTGTAGGAATGATGCTACAAAGATGAGAGAAAATGAAAATGGTTGTTTATATAATAATTATAGTTTGTGTTTATATAGCGCTTTTCAGGACCGCAGGCCTTCTCACAGCGCTTTACAGATATATATTATTATCCTGGTCATCGGATTCAGGCTTACCCGCATTTCTACAAGGGCACACTTGCTAATCTAACCACATTAGCTTTCTCATCCTACCGGGTACCCATTTAACACCTGGGTGGAGAGTGGCAAATGTAGATCAATGTCTTGCCAAAGGACACTAGTGCCGCAGCGGGACTTGTGATCCACAGTTCTGTGAAACATCCACTCGACCACGGCACCTCCATTGTGCAGAAAAAGATTTTAGACATTGCAGAATAGTATAAACAAATTATTGCCTCACTTTAACTTACAACTGAAATATGTACTACAGGACTATGGGTAATACCGGAGTGTTGGCTCAGTCAGTAGAGCGTCTGCCTCACAACCGGGAGGTCGTGGGTTCGAACCCTGGCCGCGTCATACCAAAAGACATTAAAAGACGGGAGTTGCTGATACCTTGTTTGACGTTCAACAATAAGGGATAGAGCAACGTCGATCTGGCGCTGCTCAGTGGCTGCCGGGCTCACGATCAATTGGGCAAAAAGAATTTCCGTTTCGGTTTAACTTAATAAAATTTGGAGTGGACATAAGAGATTATTATTATTATTATTTAAACTTATTCTAAAGCCCAAGGAATTTAAAATTATGTCAACAACTTGTAAAGTATAAAACCACTAAACAAAGACATAGAATAAAACATGATATAATTTCTAATGCTTTACAATGATACTGTAATACATTTAGCTTCATTACTTTTTTTCCTGGTTATATTGTCACAAAGGACCTGAATTATCTCAGGATGTCTATTGTCTTCAATATCTTCAAGAAAGTTTATTTGATTCTGGCTCTTGTATGAACTTGTATCTGACCATTCCGTGTACCTCTGCTATGGTATGAAGCTAAGGTACAAGAGGAAGAAGTCGGACAGGTTTATCTATGCACCACTATACCACCATCACACAATGCAACAATGTGTGACAGCCGGCTTAATTGGATGCAATGAAACAGAGCTAATATGCATTTCTCAAACATGTTGCTACCTTTAATCCCTTAACCTCTAGTGTCATGTGCTACTACACCAAAGATGCAATCATGTTGTCTCTTTCAGCATTTGGTTGTTTATCTCTGGGGAATCCCCAATTCTAATTTTGTACTCAACTACGAGTCACTGTGGAAAGTAACTGCCTTTTTATCTGAAACTATGCAGACAGAATGCAAGCTGAAAGCTTTTCAAGTACATAAAATGGCTATAATTGACAGAATCTTATTGAAGGGCTCAATAATTATAGAGGTGCCAGTGGGATGCAGCGTTTTAATTCCGGCCCCCAAGATCAAAATTTTAACCAGGCACATACATACATGTACGGTCCTTCAAATTTTTAGTGTGAAGCCCTTGGCCAGTCTTGTATAGAGTTGAGACTGATCCGAATCATTCGCAAGTCCTTATATCAATCAAAGTTTGCAGTCTCCTATCTCTTATATACATAGTTGCGATCGCAAATCGGTTTCAATTAAATTTATATGTTTATAAGACGGGGCCCAGGAAAGGGTTTCACAAAGACTAAGATCGACTTTAAGTTGGACTTGACTATGGTAGGCTGTTCATGCCACTGTTTGCTCTCATTATTTACTGGCATTGGTCTCTCAAGGGACTTACAAATCGTGGTCACAAATCTACAGAATTTACCTTTTTTGATAGTTCAATATTAAGATCATAATTGAGAGACCAATGGTGAGAGCAACCAGTGGCATGAATGGCCTGCCATAGTTAAGTCCAACTTTAAGTCGATCTTTGTCTTTGTGAAACACCCTCCTGGTTTCACTTTACAATTGTTAAAATAAATTCCTACCTCTAAATCAACGGCAATCTCCTTGGACTGTTTGAGGCTACGACTCAGCTCCTCCAGCTTCGACACAGTGTCTACCAGGGTGAAGGGTGTGGCTTCCAGAGGGGTGTAACTTGGGTTGTCTACCGGTTCCAGCTGAGACGGGAGGGGTTCTAAGTGGTCCAGCTCATGTTGATAGGGATGGGGGTACCTGCATAGAGGAAGGGGAAAAGTCAAGATTATTGTTTGTTATTATTATGGTTCATTCGGGCATCATTGGTGTAGGACAGACTAAATCACAGCGAGTCAACAGCCTTTCATCATGTGTAAAACTGATTAGGATGTGTAGAAGAGTGCAGTGAGTTTGTGCATAGGTGGTGATTTAACATCCTAACCCAGGGACAGCATTTTCTAAAGAAAACTTGTTTGCATCAAGGAGGCACGATAGCTCAGTTGGTAGAGCAGCAGTCTCCTAATCCAGTGATCCGGGTTTGAAACCAAGGTGATGCGCTAGTGCTCTTTGGTAAGGCATTAATCCTCATTACAAGGTCTCTCGGAGAGGACCTAAAGCCGTCGGTCCTCTGGTTGCTTACTAACAAGCATTTATGCTTTCTTAGCAGTCAGGTAAAATAACCACCACTACACACAATACAACAAAAAATACGATCTATAGAATAGGGGAGGGGCATTCATCACTCAAGGTATATCCGCAATTTGGAATTCAAACCCATCATCTTTGGTTCGACGGTCGGACGCTCAACCTACTGCACTAACTCACTTCCTTGAGTCAAACACAATAGGAAGGGTTCTAATAATAATAATAATAAGATATATTCGCTCCCTCTGCATGTCCGTCAAGCTCCCACACAACATACTTTCAAAACCCTTTCTCAAAAGTTACCTGTTTCGTTTGTAATTTTTGACATTCCATTTTATTTGTGTATTATAATTGAATATGTTACTCTAATTAATTTTTCATAAGTATTTGCAATCTGTATTAACATTGCTTGTAATGAATTAATACTATTAGCTACCTGTCTTTAGTTTAAGGTTTTTATATATTGTTCTTGTAACTATTTAAAAATACTTATAGAGAAACTTTTGTTTATTATGTGCTCAATAAATCTATCTTTATTATTATACTGCAAATGGCAAATTGCCTCTAAGCAGTTCTACAGCATAATTTTATGAAGAACAGAAAGAGGCAGCTAATACTCGTAACAAATTCAGTTAAAATTTGATGGGTTAATGGGGATTCACAGGTGTAATTTCTAAACATTTGTCGTCTTGTTGAGAAAACTTACGCTTCTGTCTGGGTTTCACTGTCCCTTTTGGCAGGCGAAGATGAGTCTGTCTTGGTCAAGAACGACTTCTTCACGGTATCAAACACTGGAAACATAAAAGAAACATGTTATTACCCTTTCAATACTGATTATTTGCTAATAAGCAGTATGAATTATAGTCATGATTGGCTAAAAGCCAGTCACAAGCTCTACATTTTTTTTTACTGTTGGGTTCATTGTGCTCTATTTCACTAATATGCCAATATGTTTAAAATGATAAACATGCATTAGCTAAGGTCCCAAAAGATAGCTTTTTTGTTTGTTATTAAAAAAAGCTCACCACCTTGTGGAAAGCTTGCTTACCAGGTAAACTTATATCCAATGTGGACAAATTTCTATTATTTTATTTTAAAACACATTAAGAGGTCATTAAAATTGAAAATTACGAGGAAAATCTCTCATTTTCAATATTGTCCATACACACATTAATTTTTTTTTTTTTAATTACTAGTTCCACATGCGTTACTTCCTTCGCCCATTAATTAAATAGTAATCAGGTTTGACTGTAGAGAGCAACCAAGATGGCACATTACCTTCTGGCAGTGGTTTGAGTGCATTGGGTTTGTGCGTGATGACCGGTACGAAGGGTACGTTGGAGTTATCAACCCTATCCTTGAACTTGAGCTGGGGCCTGGCAATGTTCCTGGCATGCATCAAACGGAAGTTCCTGGACTTCTCGTTGAGGGCCTCCGATCTCTGTCGAGTGAGAAAGATGGAGAGAGCATAAGAGAGAGACCAAGAGATATTGATAGTGAAAGAAGAGTAAGAGAAATATGAAAGGAGATTGACGATGTAAGAAAATGTTGGAGACAAAAGGGGGAGAGAGGGGAGAGAGAAAGAGAGGGGAGAGAGAAAGAAAGGGGAGAGAGAAAGAAAGGGGAGAGAGAAAGAAAGGGGAGAGAGAAAGAAAGGGGAGGAAGAAAAAGAGGGGAGGAAGAAAAAGAGGAGCGGAAGAAAAAGAGGGAGAGAGAAAGAGAGGGGGGAGAGAAAGCGAGGGGGGAGAGAAAAAGAGGGGAAAGAGAAAAAGAGGGGAGAGAGAAAAAGAGGGGAGAGAGAAAAAGAGGGGAGAGAAAAAGAGGGGAGAGAGAAAAAGAGGGGAGAGAGAGAAAGAGAGGAGAGAGAGAAAGAGAGGGGAGAGAAAGAGAGAGGGAGAGACAGACATACAGATAGAGATGATAGATTTAGAAATGGAAAAGAGGAAGACAGAGAAAGGGAGAGACAGAGACAAGAAGAAAGAGGGAGGAGGAGAAAAAAAGTAAGATGAGAGATTCAAAACAAAGACTGGCTAAGTAATAGACAGATTCTTCTTATGATAACTCCTTGCTAAATGTTCAACTCCTTCATGACTTTCAATACGAAATTAAGATAAACTTAAAGATTGTATCTGACATTTCTATGTACCTCTATGGTATGGAGCTAGGATACAAGATGAAGAAGCCAGACAGGTTTATCTATGCACCACTATACCACCATCACACAATGCAACAATGTGTGACAGCCGGCTTAATTGGATGCAATGGCAAAGAGATGTCCCAATCAAGCACCTAAAAACAATAATAATGATAACATGGCGTTCTTGTATTCCACATATCACATTATGACAATGCGCTTCCAAACGATTTGGGATAACTAACCAGCTATAGTTCCAACAAATGGCAAATGTAGATTAATGTCTTGCAAAAGCATGTTACTGTTGCGGCAGGGATTTGAACCCCATACTGTGTGGTTCACAGTCCAGATAATTATCCACAAGACCACAACACTTCTACACACAACCCATGAGTGAAGAATTAACACAGATATAGGAACAACTCTATTTGATAAAGGATAAATTACAAGAACAAAGGGTTGTGCATGCATGCAAACAGCATTGGTTGTTTAATACTTGGAAACCTCTAAATCCAATTATTATTCATGATTATCCAAAAGGAAATACTTAATAAAATCATTTTCCCATCTCAATGCAGTTACACACAATGAGAACCATGCCCCCCCCCCCCCAAGACTTCAATGAGGACTGGATTAAGGTTCTTACCTTTTTATTCCAGCTCGTAACGATGAGTTGTGGTTTCGAGACGCCCGGTGAGAAGCTCTGAGTAGGCTTGCTGATGCCTTCTGCTTCGTCCAGCAGGGCACCCTGTAAAGATCAATACAATCATACAGCATTTAAAATGTGAGAACAACCAACATTTTTCTGAGTATCATTACATATACTCCAACAAACTTCAGGCTTGGCCTTGATTTCAGCAGAGATAGAAGTTGAAGATGTATAGTAGTGGGCTACAAGTTAAAAGTTGACAAAACAAAGTAAAGACTGAGAATACGCAAAAGAAAAATAAGGGAGTGATGCATGAGAATGACAAACACAAAGAAAAGGATACGGAGGAAAGGAGTGCGAGAGAGAAGAGAAAAGAGAGAGTGAGAAAAGGGGGGAGTATATACACGTATTTATAAATACAACAAATGTTATATGTCAATAGAAGAAGAGAGTTATGAATCCAGAAGAGGGAAAAATGAAGCATCTCAACATATAGTGTTAAAAAAAGTTTGTGGCTGTGAAGCAAGAGTACACTTTAATTGGCAAGTACTGTCACTATCTTTTAACAGAAAAAGGGAAATATATGAAAACGGAAACACATTTATATGAAAAGGAACAATGAAGAGATGGATTATTGCACAAATATAATGTCTAGTTCCAGAAATTCATTCACTCTCTTAGTCTTACCGCATTTTCAAGAAGGGTGTCATTGGTCTCGATGAGGGAGTCTATTCTATCCTCGAGATCTAGGATCTTGCTAAGGCCTACTTGACTTTCATCCGCCCCTTGCTGCCCTGCAAGCCTCTGGATGCTGACAAGAAAAAATGACAAGATTGGTTATGGTAAAGGCGATTGATGATATTGATCATACAGTCAAACCTGCTTTAGTGACCACCTGTCTACAAAGACCCCATTTTTTGTTTCCCTTGAAAATGTTTTCTCATTGAAACTTTTCTTTTCTTCCTTGGATGGTCTTTATAGACAGGTTTCACTGTAATAATAAGTTTTGTTTAACATAAATTAACAACAATGCATGAGGCTGCAATTTTTTTGCATATTTTTTCTTGAAGATACAAAGTTGTAGATGTACATGTACCATCATTGTCCTTGCTTTCTCCAAGCTTCCATGACAAGTGCATAGTCATCAAGGAATTTCTTTCTCTAAATGTGAGCTCTCTCATCTTGCTTATTCTTAGGTAGAACCTTACAGGCAACTAACCAACCACATAAACTACATTACCCCAATGGCAGAAAATAAGTGGGTTTGGAGTCGGTCTGGAGCCGGTTTGGCATTGTGATTGATGTATGGTGGGGCACTTTGCAGTTCTGCTAATATAATAATACTAATAAAAATATGTCTTGTTTACCCAGGGTAGCCTCATCAGTATGTATACTGTTCTCACTGAGACTGAGCCCTGGGCAGGTCCAAGCTATTTGGATTGTGACGTACGGGACATTTAGAGACTTTAAACAAGAAATAAAAACAGATGAAATTATTTATATGGCTATCTTTTGGTATGAGTCTGTGGCTATTATGGGCTAGTTCATTTGTGGAAAGTTTTAGTTCTGACCAATTTTTTAATAAATTTTAAATGTAATTAATGTGCTGCGTGACGTACGGGACCACAGCGTCCCGTACGTCACGCAGCACATTAATTACATTTAAAATTAATTAAAAAATTGGTCAGAACTAAAACTTTCCACAAATGAACTAGCCCATAATAGCCACAGACTCATACCAAAAGATAGCCATATAAATAATTTCATCTGTTGTTATTTCTTGTTTAAAGTCTCTAAATGTCCCGTACGTCACAATCCAAATAGCTTGGACCTGCCCCCCTGCAATCATATTATCACCTCAGTTTGAGCGGAGCTACCACGAAAAGGTGCTCAAGCACTCAAGGATTTTCTTCCTACAAGGTACCCATTTACCTCACCTGGGTGGAGTGTGGCAAATGTAGATTAATATCTTCCCAAAACAAAAGACATAAGTGCCCTGACGGGACTCGAACCATGAACCATGCGATCCACCCTCCTGTGACGTACCCACTAGACCATGACAGACCACAAAGCTTGCATCACAAGCGGACTTACTTTCCTAGAAGTTTGTCTCCCTGTGAATTGCAGAACTGCCGGAAACCCTCAAAACTAGAGTAGAAGTCATAGTCATCTCCAGCTGCTGGAAGTTCATTGGCAGCTCGCGTGGCCAATTTGAGCTTGCCGAGGGCTTTCTGTCGATGGATAAAATAGAGAAACTGCATTGCATATATGTTTTTAGGTACAAAACTCAAAACCCTTTACAAAATATATATCTATTCCTTTATCAAGGACTAAGAAAATGGAAATTTATGAATCTTTCTGTACAGAGCAAAACAAACAGGACCTCCCAAGATATGACACAGAGCTTTGTATTTGATTAAAACATTTAAATATTAATTTTTATATGTAATCCAACCATCAAAAAATTAATTTCTGCTCTTTAATCCAACCATCAAAAAAATAAATTTCTGCTCTTTAATTTCACTTTATCACTTTCTCATTTTTTTAAATAACCTTCACTGTACAAATAGTACAATACAAGTTCAGCGATATCCCATTCCATTGAAAAGCGAGTTCATTGTTAGTAATCAATTAGGGTAGAGTGCCCAGTATTCGGTCACTTAAGGGGAAATCACTAATATTTTGAATTCTTACCTCTTTTATTTGGCAATCTACCCATCAAAAGAAAAGAAATTTATTCCTCTGACAGGATTTTATAGTCACTTAAAATATAGAATAATGATAAGCAAAATACTTCCGAAAGAAGACGGGAGCATTTTTCTGCCCAGAATTCGGTCGCGCCGATAAGAATTCGGTCACGCGATTTGGGCGTGGTATCTCCGTTGCGAAGGAGCGTAGCGTATTTGCGCACTATTTTCACACAATTGCGCGATAAAGCACTGAATGTCAATGCGTTGACCGAATACTGGCCGAGCGATACCGCATGTCAAGGGTATCGTATAAATACCTCTTGCACATCGGCAAGTGCGTCATTTGCAAATTCGCTGCGATGGAGCGAACACGGAAGTGATTCTCTTCACACACATACTAAATTCATTGTGACAGCACACGTAGTTGTTTCGCAATAGACTTCTACATAGGGCTATGCATGTTAGCGCATGTGCTAAGAGAACGCGGAAGTGCGGAAAGTTGTGCGACACTGACCAATTTCGAGCTAAGTTGGAGATCATTCCGGGGCCCTAAATCTGATTTAATTTTGAGAGTTAAGAAAAATTGTTCAGCTGCCTGATTTGTGCAAGTTTCGTGGCTCATAAATTATTTTTTTAATTGTTACAGCTGTTGAAACGGCTGTCTGACCGAATACTGGGCATTGACCGAATACTGGGCGCGCTACCCTACATGCATTTAAACGGGATGTCAATGAACTTGTACTTCTGTCTTCTGACTGTTTCTGAATTCTAGAATGACATTGAAACTAGTATTAGTAGGGTGTCTGAACGATTTTTCAATTTTCAATTTGGGATCGTTTTTCACCATTTTTGTTTGATATTTGAATAAAAAATGTTATCAGAATAATACATTTCAAATTTCAAGTCTCACCGATGTTTCTATCAAAAGTTACAGCCCCTCCAACACGCTGGTATATTCATATCATTTTGGTCAAAATCGACGAAAAAGACGTCCACGCAGAGTGATGTTGTTTTGCTAAATTTAGCCAAACAGCTGTATCGCGCGATATGCAAGCGTATGCATATCGTACGCATGCTGCTAAGCCAATCCGCGACTTGCAGCTTGAGCTACGCTGTCTCCGCGACATGTGCGATTGACTAGTATGGTTGGCGTTCGTCGCACAATAAACCCGGAAGTGAATGCACGTTATAGTCAATGGCAATATCGCGGAGACAACGCACGTTGTCTCCGCGATATTGCCATTGACTATAACGTGTATTCACTTCCGGGTTTATCGAGGGAATTGCCAACCATAATTTCAGTCACTATAATTTGGGGTTTCGTTCGTGCGCGGAGATGTTACGCGATGTAACCATGGTTTGGACTGAGCGGAGCGCACGCCTCCTAATTAGCTGATCCACCAAATAGCGAGAAGGGTATTTTTAAACTGTTATCAGTTGTGATCCCTGGGGGCTAGCGAAAATATAATCACATAGAATTGTTCCTTAGGACTGGGACTACTTATCGATCGGGGCGTCATATCTCAAAAGTGACAAACCTCAGAGTTAGCCAGGACACAATGTTTAAATTGCTGTTTTGACCAAGATATTTTTAGAATTTCGGGGGCTACGCCCCTTTGGAAATATTGGAATTCACCTGCTCTTTCATATGACACCTCATTCATTGATTATCACCTTCAGGATCACAACTGATAAAGGTTTGAATCTCGATTTGAAAAAAAAAAATTGACTTTTTTTGCATGGTCGCGCAATGCACGTAGGCTGCATAGGGATGCGTGTAATCTCTATGGGAAGAATTTTAGCACACAACATCGGGTGCGCGATCAGACACCCTAGTATTAGTAAAGACAAAGTAAAACTTCAAACACAAAGGCCCGAATTCACAAAGGAGGTTTGTCGACAAACCTAGGGCTAGGTTTATGTGCGTCATACGACGCTTTTGACACATTTTTGGGTTTGTAAAAACGCTTCATATGATGCACATAAACCTAGGTTTGACGACAAACCTCCCTTGTGAATTCGGGCCAAAGAGCTTAGCTAGTTTAGTACTTCACAGTTGAGTTTGACTACAAAAATACCAATGCCTTGCCAATTCAATTGGCATTATTAAATACAACAGTAGACCTACAGCTTCTGCCAATGAACCTGGCTACAGCATACAAACGGATTTTGTTGGGGGGAGGCTTCATATTAAATAGTCAACTAATAATATGAGGCCGAGGCAGCTCGAGCTCGAAACATCGAAACCCAGCCGAGCGAGGCGAGCCTGACCCCGGAGCCGAGCCTTGCCCACCCCAGCGCGCCCCAGCCATCTGCGGCCGTTCATACTCGCGGCGCGGCGCGGCATGGCCATGCATGTCTCTCTCCCATCTATCTTATCTCAACAAACCTGTGCAAAATCGTTGACACTCGTGAAGCCTGGGACAATGTTTGTCACCGTTCCATCTCCAGTCTTATCAGCCATAATTAGGAAAAATGGATAAAAATTTACACCAACTGCAATCTCTCACTTTTCCTCAGCCTTTCATCAATTTCATGAAGGAACAGCTCACTGTCTTCAAATACGCGAGTCTCGATGCGACGCCATATAAAACGCACGTGTCAAGTCAATGTCTAAAAAAATTAATTAGTCTAGTTAATGAAAGCAGGGACAGTGTGTTCAGGATGTATACATTTTAAATAGGAATTCTTCTTAACATTTATTATTATCGTTAGAAAAGAGTTAAAATTCTTGGTTTGCAGGAGAATAAAAAATCTTGAGAAAACGAAAATCACCTGACATTTCATATCTTTCTCTCGTTCGATCATCACGTGATTAGATCAGCTGGCTGGACGCATGATAGTTGATACGTGCATTATTATCATGATTATTTGCATTTATTTCATCGATGTTCACCTTCTTTAAAAGTTTTAATTTTGTAAATGTAAAGCTCAACGAAGCATAAATTCGATTTCAAGATGTCGAAGATATTTATGCTGGTTTTATTTGGTGCCTTGATCTATGGAATTCATCTCTGGTTGAACACGAAATCGTACCTTTTTGATGATCAGACAATTGCAAGAATAGCGGAGAAATACTTTGGTAAGAGAAACTTAGAGTAAGATCTACTGCTTATCATCTAAATTGCAGTGATATGCAGCTAGCTATAGCAGCTGAGCTGCGCTTGCGTGAGCGTGGCATTCAACTACAAATCAAATTATTAATTATCATCACATGATTCAACATCAATCATCATCAGCCTTACTTACTTCACATTAGTTATATTAATGACTAAATAATTCTTTAATGCCTGTGCAAGTATCCCCCTGATTTCTTCTTCTTCTTCAATTGTTTTTCAATCAATATGTTAAATTTTAAGTTTGTATTTAACTTTTTAAAGCATTCTGTTGTTAATGTTTTTGGCTTTTTGCTGTACTCTCGATCTTCTCTCAAGTTGGTTATTCGCTATAGTCTAGACTAAATGAGATGAGGGTCATCTGGTCGAAGGAGGAAAGGTTATGAAGATAAGCTTTAAAATATAAAACCAAAGAACAGCATATATTACATGAAAATGCAATTAAAATATTATTGCAATTCTTTTCAGGATTTCCAAGTTAACAATAAGATGCTTTTGACAAAGTTTGTGAAATTCTCCAGGAGCAGTATACTCTGGTCACGCACCCTTCCAAATAAGAGGGAGGAATCTCAAGAATGGATCTTCCACTAAATTATAAGCTCCATTTAATCTAACACAACAATATGGATATCTATATCATAAAAATTGCAATATCATTCATGACAAATTGTTTCACATACAGGACTTCCGCACCAAGATGCTTTTGACAAAGTCGGGGAAGTTCTGCTGGACACACTCTTCCAAATAAGAGGGAGGAATGCATCTTCAATTAAATCATAAAAAACATAAGCTCCATTTAATCTAACACAATAGAGTACCGAAGCTGTGACATCATAAAAGCTATTTTTAGAATTTCTCAATTTGTTTACTTTATTTTCCAAATGAGCATAAAAAGTAATGTCCGAATATGTCAAAAACCAATTGAAAAAGGTCAAGTATTGGCTGAGATATGACCATCTGAATGAATAGATGTCCTATAGAACTCAGTGTTATATTGCTCTGGCTCGTAATGTTAAGCAAAAATTGAGAAATTCCAAAAATATATTTTTGATGACGTCACACTTCACCACTATATAATGTCTAATTACCTACATAAAAATGCAATTAACAATTTTAACATTCATGAAAAATTGTCTTTTCATACAGGACTTCCACACCAAGATGCTTTTGACAAAGTCGGGGAAGTTCTGCGGGAGCGATACCCCGGTCACATCCTACCCAAGGAGAGAGAGGAATGGATCTTTGTGAATGCTGGGGGGTGGATGGGAGCGATGTGTCTCGTGCACGCGTCGCTCACCGAGTACATTCTGTTCTTCGGCACTGCAGTAGATACTAGTGGACATTCTGGTGAGGGCCGGGCAGATAAAGATTGTTGATCAAGATTATCACTTGATTTGTTTGTGTTTTGCTTCAAAATAGATACCATAACATCTTTGTGATACAAACCCCCAAAGTTTGTATTAACTTGAGAATTGAATACCCAGTACTGTTGATTATCATTATTACCGTATTGGTTTTGAGAATGTCTTCCATAGACAAATTTTTATCATACCATCGGAAAACCATATTTTTAATAGTGTGAGTATGGGTATTGCATTCAAGAGAATGTTTGTACTTCTCTCTGAACTATTTTGTAGTATGTATTTAATATCATTTATTTGAGTCTTGGAGCTCATGAATAAATTCAATTTTCAGTCATATGAATTTTTAAGTATTTATGCAAATCGATTGTTCTTTTTTATTTGCCAGCCTTACATACTTTAGAAGGATTTTTATGGTATGTGTTTTCATTAAATATTTGTTTATTATTTTATGTGTATCCCAATTATACCAATTATCATTGCCTAAAATTGACTATTGATTGAAAAACAAAATATAATGATGCTTTGGAAGAGGATAAGAAAATCAAGAATAGTGTTTGGTCTATAACTCTATATCAGATAAAGTTGCTAATTTTGTTCGTTCTTTTCTGTGTTCTGTCTCTTTATTATTGTATTTGCACAGGTCGATATTGGGCTAATGTTTCGGACACAATCATGACTGGGAATTTTCGTCAGTGGAAAGAAGGAACAACAGAAAGCGAGGAATATGGACCAGGTGAAATTTATCATTCTTTAAAGCTCAAAAATTTGGACTTTCTTCTTCTTTTCATTTTCTTCCTGTATTGCTATGTCCAATGACTACCATGCTGACTTTTCTTGACATGATTTGCCAATAAATGAAGGAAAATAAACAAATATTTATAATGAAAAACCTTTGCCCACCCCATATTCCTTAATATTTGGGGTTTTTTTTCTAATCATGACAAGGTGCTCCTGATGACATTAATTTGCCACACAGATGAACTTCTATGTGACAACCTTTTTTTTTTCTCTCTCAGAAATTCTTGAACATTTCTGACACAGCATTGACTTTGCAACGTGAAAGGTTGTGTGAAAACCTTTTATGCTTTGGGGCTTTTGGGAATAAATGCTCCAAGCTATAGTAGTGTTTCCTTTGCTTTGTTTTGTTTTTGTTTGTTTGTTCTTCTCTGTTCTGTTTAGCTCCTAAAATTGGTTGTATTGGGCTCCACTGTCACTGTTCTTAAAATGATTAGTTTATTTTTCTATCATCAGTATCATCTTTATCATCATCGTCATAATAACGCTTGCTTACATTATATTTTATCACCTGACGAAGTGTTTCAACGACGCACGAAACATCGTGATCTTTTAGATCCCTTGTTGACCATACATTGCGAAACAAACGAATATCACTAGCGATATTATTTTCGATAACTTTATTGTTGTTTGCATTGATTTATCTAGGAGTCACGCTGCTTCATGCGTGGGGCGAGGCTACTTCCGTCCAATGGACCGCCGGCACCTGGATGGTGGAATATGGGCGTGGTTTTATACCCTCCACCCTCCCCTTTGCTGTCTCCGACACCATCTTCAGCACCCAGGACTTCTATACCCTCTACCGAGTTGTCAGGATCTATGGAGAGGCACTGTTCCAGGAACTACTTTGTGCACTTGGATAATGATTGGTTAAGATAGTTAGCAGAGTCGTCTATACCGGGACCTGAGCAGCGTTTCACGAAACCATGATAAGTACAAGTTCACCGACATCCTATTGAAATTTGTGTTAAACTTAATACACAAATTTCAATGGAATGCTGGTTAACTTGAACTTATGACGGTTTCGTGAAACGCTGCCCTGTATTCTACTACAAAAGATTTTAACTGGGTCTAAGTCGGGTTGAGTTGTAGTAGAATGCAGGTCACAGAGTTTTGCCAACTTACAGTAAGCAATAAACATTAGTGGCAGATCGGGCAAGGGGTGATAAAAAAAAAAATGGATTTTGTGATTGCCAATTAAATAATGTATAACACTGTGCTACCTCACTATAACACAGTTGACCAAACTCTGTGTACAGATGGCTCTGACAGTTTGTACCAGCTATAGCCATTCATACACAAGAGTTGGGCCAACAAGAAATAAAATGTGTCATATTGCTACCCATTTCATTAAACCCATGTTGTCTAGACTCTGTATAGCTGGCTCTGATACATGTATGTAAGTCAGTGCCATTGACGAGGAGAGTTTAGCCAACCCAATTGGAGATAGGCACAGTATGTTGGGTAAGCACATAACAAAAGAAGATGTGCCATGCCGTGACCAACTGGATCCAAGTTGGTCAAACTCTGTGTATAAATGGCTCTGACACATGTAGATAGTACAATATTGTCTCCTTGTGGTAAAAGGAAAGCAAGAATCAGATTGGTTCATTCTTTACATTTTGAATTGAGGGTTTTGGAGCATGAATAGTGCACAATATGATATATCTTTATTTTGTTCCTCCATGGGTGTTGGGTAGATATGATACTTGCTTCTTTTTTGTGAAATTTGGTAGCCTAGACTAGAATAGAAAAGGTTGAAATACAATCATGTATTTATCCCAATCCTGACCTGTGATGAAATAGTAGATTTGTTATGAATTCTTAAATGAGTTTTGTTTATCTCTGTGCAAAGATTGCCTTGAAACAAGCATGAAACCAAAATTACTGAAGTAACCTCAAAGTTGGTCAGTGATGTGACGATCATGTTCCATTAGTTTGCAAGTTCATGTGTAAAGTTGTTTTGGATGATGGTATCAATTGATCAAGAATTGTCCCTCTCTGTCTCTCTTTTTCTCTGTATCTCTTTTTCTCTCCCTCTCTCTGTCTCTCTCTCTCTCTCTCTCTCTCTCTCTCTCTCTCTCTCTCTCTCTCTCTCTCTCTCTCTCTCTCTCTCATATTTGTGTTGATAATTTTAGGTCTCCAAAAGCAACATATTTTATATGAAATCTTAAAGTGAGATATTCAGTTCTATAATCTTCTGTTCATACTTGTTTATGTACACTTCTTTCAGTATTATCAGCTAAGTCATTTTGAAACTTAGCTTTCCACTTTCAGTCTTATCAATTTATTGATGACATCTTGCTATAATGAAATAAATTGGCAGTATTTTATGCAATATCGGTAAACACTAAACAGGGTTATTTCTGTGAAATTTCACTATACCTACCTACCTCACCTTGCCTAATAGTGACAGTTTACAAAGGTACACAGTTTTACCATGAATGATTTTATGAAGATGAAAACAAAAAGAAAAACAGATTGTGCAACTGCCTATTTTAAGTGAACGTAATTTTACATTTTATTCATGTTACATATAATGCTGCCTAGAATAAAACAAAAACTAAATTTCCATGGTTCCATATACAGTTAATAACAGAATTATTCATAAATACTTGTAAATGTGATGGTTTTTGTGTTTTTCATAACTCAAGAACAAAAGGTGAACTGGTTGAATTAGGGCCTTTGTTTAATACGTTTAGATGTAAGCTTCAATGTGTCACATTCTCATGAAACATAAATTGAGACGAATCAATTTTTCACATGTACCGGTACTTTATTTATAAAAAAATACAAATCAGGGTAAGGGTATGAATAATTTAGTTGTTAAGGTATTTCTCCATTTCTTATACAGGGCATGAACTTTGTGACTACTGTGTGCTTTCAATTTTACAATCAATAATTGGTTTAATATTTTGAGTGGAAAGCAATGTGCAATGCAGTGATGGCTATATTGGCCTAGAGTATATGGCAGTATTCATTAATTCTTGTGTATTAATCGTATTTGTACATTTTGATATTTTAGGACATGAAGACTTGTTTTGTCATCCTTTCTTATCAATTGATCATCATTAAAAATTGATAGAAATTTGAATCAAACTTGGTGTTTGTTTGTTTTGTTTGTTTTTTCTGGTTGCGTGTAGGCTTATTTTATGTCCAAATATGCTAGCTATATCCATAATACAGAGAAAATGTGTATCATTTAAATGAGGGATAGAACACAACAATTCATTTACATTATAATAACTAAAATGTTTTCTAAAAATTTCTTCTTTGCACTTCTATCTCCTTTTTTTTTTTACCACACCTGCTACGCGATAAACGCACCACTGATTGAATCATTGAATATGTAAAGATGGGGGAAAGAATATTGAAGAAATGAAGTTTTGTTTAACAGGTTCTAGCGCAATTACCCCCCCCCCCCCCCCCCCCCCCCCCCGTTCAATTACCAGTGGGACAATTACCCCCCAATGACAATAATCCCAAAAAGGACATTTACTCCCCTTCCTCCCATAAAAATACTCTTGGACAATCACCCCTCCCCCAACAAAAAATAATAATGATAAAATAAACTAAATCTGCTTTTATTAAAACAACTTATTATGGTGGACTTCTCCTTTGATTAACAGGGGGTAAATTTTCTTGGGGACGGTTGTCCATGGAGGGGGTGTAAATGTCCGTGGGTGTAGTTGTCCGGAGGTGATTCTCTAGGGCAGTGGCGGATCCCCCCCCCCCCCCTTGAGAAAAAAAATCATGTAAAATCACGTGATTTTTACCTTTTCTGGGGGTTGGGCCCCCCCCCCCCCCCCAGGCGCTCAAGGGGGGGGGGGGTGGGTGCAAATTGAAATTTTTTGAGGATCCAAAAAAAAAAATGTGCTCACGACCCCCCCCCCCCCCAATTAAAAAAAAAATTGTGCTCTGTATCCCCCCCCCCCCCCCCCCCCCCCCCCCCCCCCCCCCCCCCCCCCACTGAGCGACTTTTTGGCCGGCGCGATTTTCAAATTTTCGGGAGCAAAAAAAAAGTTGGGCCCCCTCCCCTAAGAAATCCTGGATCCGCGCCTGCTCTAGGGGGTACTTAAAGGCTCACTGCCATACTTGTAGCTACTTGCTCCCTCTATATAGAAAACTTCCCCAAACGGTGCCTGTTGGTCCCCCATGATCCTCTTTTTCTTATGTTAAATGAGAGCTGAGTTAATGAGATAGCCACCTGTCACAGTGACCTCGCTGGCTCGCTGTGTGGTCTAATCCCTTCTTGCCCAGTAGTGGTGACGGTCTTTAATGTCCTGATACGAGTTTAACACGATGTCTCGTTCAGTTTTCTTTTACCACTTGCCAGAAAGACGTCAGTGTTCACTGTATTGCAAATGATCAAGAGAGGGAGACGTGCAGCAAAATCACGCAGATCCTATAATAATATCTTTATGAGTAAAACGCAGAGGCTTATGATAGTCTGTAAGGGAAAAAATGCTCCTTTGGCCGATACAGGGGGAAGCCCCCGCCACCCCTTTACCCCCTCCCACCCCCTTGAGAAAAAACAGATATTTGAAGGGATATAAAACATATATATTAATTTTGAAAAACGAAATGATCGAAAAAGACTAAAGAGGCACCCCAAACGAGACTCCTCATTTGGGAGCGCGGTCGGCTGGATTCCCGTTGGGAAAATAATCAAGGTTCAATCAGGGACTTGGGAGACATGTAGGCCTAATTATAATGTAAATAAAAGTGATCGACGAAACAAACCAGTGGCGGATCCACCTGGGAAAAAAACAGGTAAAAAACCGCCTCTGAAACAAACTTTTGCTAACACGATAACAAAAACTGTCGAGAAATCTTTTCAAGGGCAATTTCAATATATAATATTAAACATATCAATATGTCACGTTCGTACATTGATTTTAGCTCTGACATTTTGACCACTGACATTTTTAAAGCTAGTGCTTTTACCTCTGGCAGATTTACCTCTGACATTTTTTTTTACCTCTGACTCTTTTTATATCTGACATTTTTACCTTGAAATTTTATCTCTAAATTTGCATTTTTTCCTCCTCTGACATTTTTACTTCTGTTACCGCTATTGTGTTTTTTTTTTGCTTGCTTGTTATATCAATTTTTTTTTTTAAAAGGGGATTTTTCTTTCTCTTCCTTTTTCTTTGAACTCCTGAGAAATGTAAAAAGGGGATTATAAATATCTTGAATATCAAAGAGCAGTGTTCCGGATTTAGGGGGGTCTCCAAGGCAGGAAGGTGGTTTCAGAAATGTTGGCAGCCCTGAGAATTTGAGAAAAGGTGTGTTTTTCAAGGGAACAAGCATACGCGTATCCTTAATAAAACTGAGTGGGGGGGGGGGGGGCTCAGGTCCAGTGGCGGATCCAGGGTGGCTCGGGTCCCCTCCCCTGGCCCCCAAAATAGGTGTCAGTTTTTAAAAAAAAGATGGTAACGTTAATTTTACCTTAACAAAAAAAAAGAAGAAGACGGGCCCCTCCCCTGGCGCTCAAGGGCGGGGGGGGGGGGGGGTATTGAGCAAAAAATAGAGCTTCAACCCCCCCCCCCCCCCCCCCGTTGAGCACGAAATGGGCCCCCTCCCTCGCCGCCGGCTGGATCCGCCCCTGCTCTGGTCACTCACAAATATTTTTTGATAGACTACGGCGCATGAGGGATAACTTTCTTCTATAATACTTCTCCTCCACCCCCTCCTCCTCTTTCTCCTTATTCAATTTCCTCTTCTGCTTCTTCTTAATTAATGCGTCTTCTTTTTAATTCTTCTTCTAATTCTCCTTCTAATTCTTCTTCTAAGTCTTCTCATCTTCTTCTTAATCTTCTACTAATTCTTCTTTTTATTTTTCTTCTTCTTCGATCTTCTTCCTCATCCTCTCTTAGATCAAATGAAATTTTATCAGAGGGAGGGGGCTTATAAATTTATCAATATTACATTTTTTCGTGCTTGCGTCTATTCTTGGTATATAATATGTAAAGCCTATCATTTTTCTGCATCCAGAGACTGCTCCTTTAAAGCTCCCCCACCGAATTTGTTTGAGTCCCAATGTCTATTAGATTGATAGATCGTTTTACCTTTTAATTTAAAATCATCCCGAAATTACAATGAATTCATTAGATTATTAAATAAACATACGACGTTGAAACTATCTCCCTTTGAAATAGAAGAATTCTAATATTGATAAATAATAGGGTTGGTGGGGGTTTTGGGTTTTGCTCTTGGGTTGGTGGGGGCATGATACTGTGTAAACGATGTTGTTTTTATATCATACCAATATGTTAAGAATTTAATTTGTGATATATCATATTTTCTCTCATTTGTTTTGTAATGTCCTATAAACTCGACCCCTCGGTAGAACAGCTGTGCTGTACTGGCACAGCTGAGCAGGGCGATCTATCCAATGTTATTTTCTCATGTTATCATCTATATTGTTATTTATATGTTTTAATATTGGTGAATAAAATCAAATCCTATCAAATCAAATATAGTCTCAAATGGCAACTATAGCTGCCCCCGGTCCCATGTATTTAATTTAGTCCATGCAATTATTTGCTGTTTGTTTGCTTAGTATCGGTCACAAAATCGTGAGAATGAGTAATAGCCTTGATTGCATAATATTGTATTACAACCGTATGACTATGAGCTCATATTATTATTATGGTCCATGAGTGAGCTCTATTCTTACAGTCAAAGGTCAAACTAGGGCAAACCCGGATGAGTGACGTCATTCATAAAACTCGCCATCTTTTGGGTCTCATCTGTATATAATTTGTAGGTGTGTGAAAACACCCCCAGAAAATTCATCAAAATGTAAGTAATTGAGAAGTATTATGCCATTCGTTTGTTATATTATAAATTATGTGAATGTTACTTGGATCTGAATGTCCTTCTTCTGGTATTTTATGGGCGCAAACCGGTAAAATAGCGGTGTATGCCGTGTATCCCATTCAAGATTGAATGAACTGCCGCGGCGACAGTGCGAATGACATTGCAGTGCATTGATTATTGTATGTGTGGTAGCTGAATGAATGCCGAATACACGCGCAAAATAACGGTGCAGTAGCCTACAGACACAAGAGAGTGAAACCGAAACGAATCTACTGGCTAGAAATACTGTAGTGTAGAAATAATTGGTATTTCAAATATTCTAGTAGGTCTAGTGAGCTACTCATAGTAATATAGATTCTAGGCCTATAGACTATCTTAACTTAATCATTAAACCAAACTATTCTGAAATTGAAAATTCTTGTTACTTTTCTCCAATTTCTTTACCCGCACTATTGATAGGGAGGCCAATGCCCAAATCTAACTTTTTAATTACTAATTTGTTTATACTAAAACTAAGATTAAAAGAAAGCATTTACTTTCACTAAGAAAATCCACCCATCTGCCGACTCCATAGGTTCCATCAAATAGGAGATATCCAGCTGGTTTGTAGCCATTTCCTTCTACGCCTTTCCGTACGTAAGAGCCTTGAAACAATTATATTTCATGTCGCAAAGTTACGTTCATAATTAGACAGGCCCGAGGGACAAAGTTCATGATGAAGTTTAAAACTTCGCGCGAAAGTGCAATCACTCAACAGCGGCTAGCCTTGAATCGGTCGCACACGTACACACCTTCTTCTTAAGTTGATCCCTCCACCGACACAGGCAAGCCCCGATGCAGGCTGAAGTCCAGCCATCAATGTGCGAACAATTACATCTTCTACTACTACGAGGCGAAGACGATGGTTCAAAAAAGGAAAGAAATATATATAATTCATTGATATTTACCTTAGATGTGTATTCCAATAATTTGATTTCCTCATGAGTATTCCTTATTATCAACGATCGAGAAGTTACGAGGTCCAATTAAAATCCATCTTGCAGCGAACACAATCATAGCGCACATCCATGCATGCAACGTACGTGTACTAATATTTCTCTCTCTCTCTCTCTCTCTCCCTTTCGCTATACGTAACATACACACTCACTAACCATGTATCATACAACACACACATTCAAATCATGGCTTTCATTTCAATTCTCAATTGGAGTATAGACTGCTCACGTAGACTTTTTTTTTTACTGAAATATCTTTTTTAACACTTCTCATACATTACTGCACGACACTCGTATCTAGTGCTGTGAGAATAAGGTACTAGGGTCTATAAATAAGACTACGCCTTTGCGCACGATCTGACCGGAGCTCAGATTATGTCGCAATACCCTTTATTTTTGGCGCGAACAATGACGTCACTGTTCACTGTTTTCCTTCTCATTTTGAGATGGATGTAGCTATAGGGCTCAAACCAACGCAAGATTGACAGAAACATCGTACTCTATCTACTTTCGAATGTTCAGTTTGTAAAAATCTGTATTTAAAAAGATACAATCTTTTTTCTTTATATTTTCTAGTTGTTAGAAGTGGCAATTGTGAACATCTGAAATGTTGATCTCTATCAAAAGTTCTTTACTCAAAACGGATCCCATATTTTTAGGGTCTACCTTCTGCCAATGAGAAGGTTTTTAGTGAGCAAACCTCTACGCCCTCTAGGATTTTCTTAGTCGGTGGTGCGAGTGCGTCAAGGTCGTCTGCAACCACAATTATTGGATTAAAAAACGTCAAAATCTGCAAGATTGTCAACAAATGGTGAAAGACTGTTACAGATCCGTGATTATAGGTATGTTGTGAAATGTATAATTGTATTTTCTTTTCATATTTTCTTCAATTTTTATTTTTACATCATTTTTTTCCCTTTGCTAATTTTTTGAAGTGGGCGACGAGCGCACAAATCGTAGGTGTAGAAGCCTTACGCCCGGGCATTGGCCTCCCTACTATTGACTTGTTGTGTAGGCCTAGCCTAAAGCTAAAGTAAAGGAGATTGCCACATAAATAACAAATCCGGGCTAACTCGGACCAGGGGACAACTCGGCCCAGCTGCAAAAACGGTCATTTTATGTCATTTTACCCTAACTCTAACCCTAACTCTAGTCTAACTCTAGACCGAAAACTTCAGTCTCTCTAATCGTCGGTTGTTCCACTGAGACTACGTCTGGCTCCACTAGACCTCCGATTATAGAGACTGAAGATTGTCCTATCGGGACTGTACGGAACAAATGGTTCGGTTCGGCAGGACCGCGATGAATGAGATATGCTACGAGATTTTCACTCTTTACATCCTCACACATGCTGCAATATGACAATAATTAGAGTCTAATTAAAAATAACATATAGGCCTATATAGCTTATTTGACTTACGATAGCTTGCTCATTTAGATCCTAAATTAATGATTAATCCGAGAAAGTCTCGTCGTCAACATTATCCGTCTTGGTTTTAGTTGATGAATATTAATTTTTTCTTTTCGAACGTCCAATAGCTACCGTAGCTACATACGAGTCGGCCCGGCTTGACCAACGAACTCCCACGAAACGAGTGCTCTGATTGGCCATTGGCTATGTTTTGGTAGGTGGACCCGGAAATATATCGGCCGCCGGGTAATATTTCGAATGCATGAACGTAAGTGCTTCGCGGTTCTGAGGAACAAATTGGATAATTCCGAAAATTACACATTCTATAATAGGTTAGAAAATTTCGAAAACTGTAATTAGGAGATATATAGACCGACCTAATTTACATCTGATTTAGAAATCAGGAAATTAGATCTAAATAAAGAAAATCGGGGGAGAAATGTCGGTAACGAAAAGCTGTTACGCTGTGGCTCTAATTACCCCCACGGTACGAGATCTCTGGGTTGCCATCTGTATTGGGGAATGACAACAAATGTCAGTTTTATTAAAGAAATGACCCAAATCAGATGGTTATTGCTGTCTAGTCTAACTCTAACCCTTGATCTAACCCTAACCTAGACCGAAAGCTTCAGTCTCTATACTAGGGTGTCTGATCGCGCACCCAATGTTGTGTGCTAAAACCCTTCCCATAGAGATTGTACGCTTCCCTATGTGGTCTACGTGCATTGCGCGACCATCCAAAATTGGTCAATGATTTTATGAAAAAATTTGAAATTCAAACCTTTATAACAAATGATCCTGAAGGTGAAACTCAATAAATGAGGTGTCATATGAAAGAGCAGGTTTTTCTCCATATTCCCCATAGGGGGCCACCCCCAGAATTCTAAAAATATCTTGGTCAAAACAGCGATTGAAATGTTGTTTGCATCCTAGCTCCAAAATTTGCCACTTTCCTGAGCTGCGGCTTAAGCAGGGCTAGACGTAAGGATAATATCCAGATGCTTTTTTTTTCGCTAACCCCAAGGGATCATTTGTTATAACAGTTTGAAAATACCCTTCCCACATTTTTGGAATCAGCTAATTAGGGAGGCGTGAGCTCCGCTCAGTCCAAACCATGGTTACATCGTAACATGTGCGCTTATAGTGAATGAAAGTATGGGTGGCCGATTCTCGCCATAGAACCCGGAAGTGAATACACGTTGTAGTCAATGGCAATACCGCGATATTGCCATTGACTACAACGTGTATTCACTTCCGGGTTCTATGGCGGGAACGGCCACCCATACTAGTCAATGGCACATATCGCGGAGACAGCGTGGCTCAAGCTTGCAAGTCGCGCATTGGCTGAGCAACTTGCGTACGATATGCATACGCTTGCATATCGCGCGATACAGCTGTTTGGCTAAATTTAGCAAAACAACATAACTCTGCGTGTACGTCTTTTTCGTCGATTCTGAGCAAAATGCTATGAATATTTCAGCGTTTTGAAGGGGCTGTATCTTTTGATAGAAACATCGGCGAGACTTGAAATTTGAAATGTATTATTTTGATTACATTTTTAATTCAAATATCAAACAAAAATGGTGAAAAACGATCCCAAATTGAAAATTGAAAAATCGTTCAGACACCCTATCTATACCCTCGGTTGTTCCACTGAGACTACGTCTGGCTCCACTAGACCTCCGGTTATAGAGACAGAACGATCGCCTATGCCAGCCTATGTTGAATATATCACGGCTAGATTTTAGCTGTTAGGCCCCTCCCACAAACATGAACAAACTTGCCACGGCCGTATCATCACTTTGAAATTAATAATATTGGTCTAAGAGAAGAGGCAAAACATGCGGGCCGCCTTCTTGGATTATAATGCATACCGCCGGTACACTGTACCTACATTATAATCCAAGATGGCGGCCCGCAGGTTTTGTCTCTTCTCTTAGACCAATATTATTAATTTCAAAGTCATGAAAAGGCACTAAATATCAACAAACATGGTCTACAACAACCCCAATTGACAAAATAATCCCAGCCATGAATTTTTTTTGATAGCCATTTGATAGCCAAAAACTTAAAAATTTTCGGCATTAAAAAAAAAATCAGCCAATTTTTTTTTGTCGATCTTCCGATCCAATACCGATCAAAGGTGCGAGGGTGTCGCTCCGATCTTCTTATCCGATCAGAGCCCCAACCTACAGGGTAAGTCAGGAGCACATTGCATTGCTTTGTGTGTGGATCATTACGGTATACCAACAAATGTGATGAAATTGAACAGAAAAGTAGATAGCTATTTTTGTCATGAGAAGTCTGTTTATCACATTTTCACTTTGAGCAAAGCTAATCCCTTTGCAGCAGATGTAGATATTATGGAACTGCTCTTCATGCAGGCAAACACAATGTAGGTGCCAATTAAGGTTAGGTGTAATCAGTATCATATTTTGTAATTATAACCAAACCCTAAAATGAAGGTTGGCTGTTTGGGTTATTTGTTTCATGACAAGTCTGCTCATCATATTTCCACCGTGCAGCAGATCTCACTATGAACATGACTGACAAAGAAAGCGGACAAAATATACAGTTCCTCAGGTAGACAAAGGAGCATCCCTTCACTGCTATTATGTAAAAATGTGTAGATCAGGTGTCGCATGCATATTCACCTTTTTACATAATAGCAGTGAAGGGATGTTCCTTTGTCTACCTGAGGAACTGTATATTTTGTCCGTTTCCTTTGTCCGTTATATTCATAGTGTGTAGATAATACGGAACTTTGCATTCCAAATGGGAGACTTTTGTGAAATAGGCTACCAAAAATCTCGACAAAAGTCTTTGACTATAGAGGCAGTCTAAAGTTTATTTCTCTGGTACATTTTTATTTACTTCATTATACAGTGTATGTCGTGGATATTTTGTGATGGTTAAGTAGGAGTGGGTACACTTAAACTGATTCTATTTATGTTACGCTAATGACGATATTTTAACTTTTTATTTTATCGAAAAATAAAAGGTACGGTCGGTAAGGCAAAAAGCCAATTTTTAATTTCATGTTAATTCTAAACTTGTATTTTATGCTTTCTTTTAGAGGAGAGGTCCAACCAGAAAATAGTTGGTTTCATTAAAGGAAAATCAAACCTTTATAACAAAATTGCTCTGAAAGAAAGCAGAAAAATTACATTAATGAAAGCCTGAACGAATCCCCCAAAAATCAGAAAGTTGTGAAAGTTGTAAATGGTAATTTCAAATTGGTCCAATCTGTTTTGTCACTGCGATGTACAATTGTACATGTTATGTATATTTTTCAAAATATATTACTCAGGAGGGTCTTATTTTTTCAGGATGTAAATGTATGACAATATGATATCCCTAATTTATTTTTAGTAGTACCCCAATGGAGAAGGCACTTAATAGAAAACAGAAATTAATTATATTTTTGCACATGACAAACAGGAGAGTTTTCTGGGACGACATCACAATATATTGACCAAATTTAGGGATGTCATATTCAAACATTGAAGAAGAAAAATATATAATAAAAAAATTTAAAAAACAGATTTATTTCAATATTTTGCCATTCTGTTTCTCTTATTTTTCTGCTTTCATGAGAATGAACTCATTCCAAAGGTTGGATCGCCCTTTAAAAGCTGAATAATGAGGGGGAAAAGATCAGTTATTAAATATGAAGGAAATTTTTTCGACCTTTAAGCCTACATGTACATGTACAGTACATGCCTGAATTTTTAGCAGATATTTCTGCATTTATTGATAAATCGAATATAAAACATTAAAATAACAATAATATAATTGATTTGTACATAAAGAGTGTTTACACAACGGCGTCCATGTACATGGCGCTGTTATGTATGTAGGAATATGTAGGAGAATAGAATATATAGTACCATTAATGCTGCATAACTGAAAGTCACAGAAGTCGAGTTCTCCCCAAGTCAAATAAAAATGTTGACCAAACTATGCAAAACGTGTACCGGTATTTGCTTCCTCTAATATGAATTTTGTCGAGTTTCCCGAAGTCAAAACATTTTATTTGACTAAACTATGCAAAAACATGTGTAACTAATTTTGCATACCGGTACCAGTATTGAGTCTAACTATTTTTGCATTCCCAACATTTTGACAATGTATGCAGAGTTCATTGTGTACTGTACATGTAGATGCAAACAATGTACATATTTGAGTGTAATTTTTTTGTCTACATGTACCTTTCCATGGCAATTTGGCCAGTCTGTACCTACCTACGCATGATCATGTAATGTACCTTAATTTTTGTTGGGTCTAATCCGTTGTTCTTAATTATGTCTGCCTGCGGCCAGCCTTATACCACGCAAGCAGTCAGTCCTACGTTCTACTCCTATTGCAGTCGACAGCTGTGATTAGCAATATGCATGACTGAGGGGAATTGGAGAGAATTACATTGGGTCCACGCTGATACAACCTCACAATTAGGGTCTGATACAGTGTGTGTATGAGCCGTGCTCTGCAGCAATTTTGCAGATGTTGGGAGGGGGGGGAGGGTTATCTATTCATAATGAGGTCGTTTCGATGAGGAGATTGCCCTCGTTATACGTTGCACAGGTATCAACTGAACCTTGACATGATCTTTTAGACTAAAAATGGAGAGAACAAAAATAGTGTACAAATCCTTGTCATGTACATGTACAGGAGAATTGTACTGTGATTGTGAGATATTGTGTGTTGCAATGTGTGTGTGCGTGCCCTATTTCAAAAGAGACACAGGACTGCTGTGGGTTGAATTTAATAGACAAAGAAATTGTATTTTAAAAGTCAAAATGTAAGTTGTACTTTTCATTGAATGTGATTTTTCAGCAATTTTTGTTAGGTTGTCAACATAATAATGATAACAACATTTATAATGCGCACATATCCACCCCAATTTACATGATGAATAGCGGTCCTTATGACTAGCGAGGTAACCCTGTGTGTTTTGCCATCCAAGCGACTCTTGTATTGTACTTCTACTTATTATTGAATGTGATTTTCCAGCAATTTTTGTTAGGTTGTCAACATAATAATAATAACATTTATAATGCGCACATATCCACCCCAATTTACATGATGAATAGCGGGCATTATGACTAGCGAGGTAACCCTGTGTGTTCTGCCATCCAAGCGACTCTTGTATTCCATGTGTACATGATATAATTCAAAATTCCTTTAATAAGCAAATTTTCCCTCAAAACTGCATAATTCTACTAGAACTCAAAATGAACACTAACCTACATGTACAGTGTAATTCATTGTGTCACATAAGAATTTGCAAATGTACATCTACAGTGTACATGTAGATTACATGCATGTTGACATGTGTCATCTTTAATACTACATGTAGAGTACCGGTAGCTCTTCGGACATGTTCAGTATACCAGTACTTGTACATTACTTATAATAGCTTTATGATTCAGAATCTGTGTTATGCCAATGACTGATTGATATGGCAGACATGTGATACTGTACAAACTAGCCATTAGTTGCTAGTACATACACAGTACATGTAAATGTACATGTAGGCTAGATACATAATGCATCGCTTACAAATGTGTGGACCGTGTACATGTTTACGTACATCCTAGAGTTGGGTTCTTTACATGAATGGAGTATACTGACTACATGTAGTACATAACAAAGCATGCCCAAAATGCCTGACTCCTATTGGGATATTGATTCTCTTAAGCTTTTGTTATTAATTAGACTTGGCCTTTGTTTGGGCCCTCCTGTATTCCAATGGGCCACAAAGCTGACATCCTTACCCTGTAAGCTAATTATGAAGAACAAAGAGCACTTAAAATTCACACACTTGGCAGATTTGGAATATTGATTTAGTATAATGTCTACAGTATGTAATCTTTGTTAGTACACACATGCCAAGTACAGTTCAACAGCATAACAAGCATGAACATTTACATTGTAATGTAATGTGTACTTATTACAGCTGTAGAGAATGTAAGTACATGTGCATGTATGTACACACATGTACATGTACATGTATGCAGCACACTGTTCATTGTACATTTACAACAATTTAGTATGGATAAACATTGAATACTACAAATGGAGCTATTTTCTTACTCCCTCTCCCCTGTTCTGAACATACACGGAAGGGGATAGTCATGGCTATTGACATTCAATTTCTTGCATTATTAAAAATCATGCATAAAATCAAAATGTATACAAAGTATTCCGAGGTAAAACACAACATACAATAAATGAATTTCGTTAAACAAGAATAATAAGGCCATCATTAAAAAAAACCTATTGCATGATAAAACATACATGTACATGTAGTATATGTAGAACTGTCCAATTAAGAAGAGAGGGAGAGAGAGGGTAAGCAGAGAGGGAGGGAAAGAGAAAGAGCGGGGGGAAAGGAGATAAAAAAAGAGGGCAAGAGAGAGGGAGGGAGAAAAACATAGAGATAAAAGGAGAGAGAGAGTGAGAGAACAATTGGACATGAGGAAGAATAACTTGTATTTTTTTATATGATAAAAAATGGATGCTAAGCTATTCTGACTTGAGTATTTTACTATTTTTCTATCTTTATTTTTTTCTTCCAATCTAGGGCTGCACCACCACCACCACAACCAGCGCCCTCCAACAAGAGGTTACAACAGACTCAAGCACAAGTAGATGAGGTAAATCGTTGGGAAACTTCAAAATACCCCACCATACGAGTAACCGTATTAACTGGGACCTATATAATACAAGCTTTGCTTTTTAGTAGATCCCCCACTTTATTGATTGATTTATGTGATTGTATCCTCTGTTTTAACTATCATCATGTTCATTATGTTATCTTTGATGAAGTGAAATAAATAAACTTGAAACTTGAAACCTTAATCCCAACCCTGACCCAAAATCTACATCTAACCTTAACCCTACATGTCACCTTAACCATAAAAGCCAAACCAAATTATAACCCTAAACCTAAATTCAAACACCAAACCTTACCCCATTCATAGTGGATATATTCTCTGTTTAGATGAAAGCAATTCATACTACGGTCCAAATATAGCAATTTTGCCTATTATTTCATTGTTACATCACGTTGCTTAGACAAGAGTGTGAACAGGCGCTACTATATGTTCCGTCTGCATGCATGTAGAGGCTATTTTGATATGGCTTTTACAACGAACACTCTAGTCTCAACTGCATGTTAAAATTTAAATCCGGTCTACATGTATATGTTCCGTCTGCATACATGTAGAGGCTATTTTGATATGGCTTTTACAACAAACACTCTAGTCTCAACTGCATGTTAAAATTTAAATCCGGTCTGTTCCTTATGACATGAAATCCCTCGTCTCTTTCGTAAGAATGCAGAGACACCTTCCAAAAATGGCTTTTTCAAAATTGATTAGCTCCATGAACATCTTGCACTTGAAACAGTTAAGTTGTCGGGAAGCCTTTGTATGTGTCCTGTGATAAATAAAATGTGGCGCAGGAGAATATTTTTTTGGCACAAAAAAACATTAACACATAGACACGCATAATGCACTGCTACATGTGCATTGTGCAATGTCCATATGAAGTATACATGTATATATTTGCCTTTGCCTAATACTGATGTTCTATTACTTTCTTACAGGTTGTGGATATTATGAGAGTAAATGTTGACAAAGTTCTTGAGCGAGATCAGGCGCTATCAGTCTTGGATGACCGTGCAGGTGAGAAACCAGTCCTCCAAATCTTGTGTCTTTTATTTCAACGGAAGAATGTAAAGGTGTTGTTGTAATGATAAATAATAAAATATGGGGTCCATGTATAGCACTCCTGGCGCTCCCGAATATTACCCTTGCTTTAGCACGGCTGCCATTACGCTCTTTTTTTGCAAGGAATTAATTCCTGCCATGTACCCATTTACATCACCTAGGTTGATTGTGGCAAATGTAAATCAATGTCTTGCCAAAGAACATTAGTGCTGCAGATTTTGTTGATACACGTAAAATCTCTTTACAGAAGCAATTGAAGTTGCAATCTAAAATAGGAGATATTAGCGTCAGATACCACATACCACATACATGTACATACATATATGAAGCAAAACTTAGAGATTGTTCCACTTTCGGATGGCCCTGCATGCACTTTGTAAATTACGATTGAGATTCCTTATTCCATGTGTACATAATTTAAAGCCTGTCTGCACTACATGTAGTTTGACCAGGAGGGATTAGACCTCCCTGCAAGGTCACTGACAGGTTGTTATCTCATCAAATCAGCTCTCAATTAATATAAGAAAAAGGGGATCTTGGGGGACCGATGGGCACCACTAAGGCATTGTTTGCTATATAGAGGGCGCAAGTAGCTACAGGTAGTGCAGCCCCGCTTTAATGTTTGCGTCTCTGTAATATTCTGTCGTCTTTCAGATGCCCTCCAGCAAGGAGCATCACAGTTTGAGACGAATGCTGGCAAACTCAAACGGAAGTACTGGTGGAAAAACTGCAAGATGATGATCATCCTAGCAATTATTATCATTGTCATTTTAATAATCATTATCGGTAAGTACAACAGTTTTGGAAAAGGGAATTATTTTTTTTCTTCATATAGGCTTCTGTACTTTCATTCTCATTTATTTGAAAAATCCTATAGTTTTATTCACAAATTTTGTTTAAACTGACATTTATATTTATAGTTAATTTTTATGATAAGTTTTTCTTGATGATGATTCTGACTGTTTTTCAGAGTTCTCACCATTAACATTTTATTTATCTTATTCGTCAAAGTATGATTTCTTTTCATTTATTGATGATTTTCTGGAAATCATGTTGTCTCGCAAAAATTATATGTCATGGTTAATGCCATTTGAAATAATTTTGCCTGATTTTGAATAATATTTCATTCTATGTTTGCACATTAAATTAACCTAAACATACTGTACATGTAGAGATTTTTGTTCAAGTTTTCTAACCATTTGCAGTCAGCAAAACAGAATTGCACTATCCAACTACAGTGTAAATTAACCAATTCAAGCCATGTATTTGAACTGACATGCACTTAGGAAAATAATATTTCTTTCATTTATAGTCACTGTTTAACCTCCATTGCATGATCATACTGTCTTCATTATTTCCTTGTGTGGATAGCAGAAGATCTGAGTCGTTCTGTTTCATTCATTTTAAAAGTAGAAGGTTGCTGGCATTCAAATATTGATAACTTTAAAATTATGTGCCTATTTGATACAAAACTAGTCAGTTTTCATCTTTTTTTTTCCATTGATAAAGCAAGAAATCCCTGTCATGTTTAAACAATGGCATAACATGTATCGAGCAATCAAAACTACAGAACGAAGATACCAGAAAATTGCTATATGGCTTACGAGTGTTTACGCCCTATTTGCCGGCCGCACCATGAATTTTCTCTCCATCTTTTCGTTTCCAGTCATCAATAACCCTTTTAACCACATTTGTCTTTACTTCATCTCTTTTTTCTGGGGACATTTTTTCAATGCATTTGCAGTGTGGGCCACACAGGCTTAGAAGGTGGGTAAAGGGATGTTGCCTTGTCAAAGTGAAGCATGTTTTATGTTCCGTGCATACATGTATTTTTGAATGTCCGTATTAACAAAGTTACATTGTCTTGTAATCGCTCTTCAAACACATGATGGATGTGAAGATGTTTGCAACAATACTGCCGTAAGCTATACTGTATAAATGCTGTTATTTTTGCGTGATTAATTTTTTTTTCGCGCTGAGCCACCCCAAGACATAATATATCCCCAGGTTCTTAAATTCGCTTTTCATGCAATTAATTCCACTCGAAACATCCATAAGAAGTCATGCTTATAAATTTAAGGGTTTGAATATTCGCGGACACTGAATTTAGCCCGAAATTTGCAAAATTGACAGTATTCTGGAAATAATTAAAAATTGTAAATAACAGCACCATCTAAAAATGATCAAAAATAGATCCATTGAAAGAGACCGGTAGTTCAAAATTATTATTTTTTTTTTTTTTTTTTGGGGGGGGGGGGGGGGTCATTGTTAATTTCGTCAAGTCATTTGGCCTTGTAAAATAGAGATCTGTGTATTTCTATGGATAACCTTCTTTTTAATTTGGAAATATAAATCATTTAAAAACTAAAAAGCAGAGGATTTTTTTAAAGGTTGTACGTCAGTTGTATACTGTCCAAATCCATTATAAACATTAAAATATGTACCGTATTTGCCGGCGTATAGGCCGCAGTATTTTTGGAAGAGAAAATATCAAAAAGTCGGGGTACTCATCAATGTACATGTATGTTTTGCACCAGTGCATGTGCTTTTGGTCTAAGAGCATGAATTGTTATGATTTAGTGTTCGGCTGTTTGTGTCATGTTGTCTGACCTGTTATGCATTTACATGTTTTGCAATAGACCATTCCACAAAATTGAATGCATTCCGCCACACTAACTGTTACATGTATACGCGTTAAAACCCAAGAGCTTGCCAGAGTTTTGCCCAACATCACAGCACCTAGCGCACATGTATGCAACACGCACTCTAACTATTGAAATATAATAATCTTCACAGAAGAACGCAATAATCAGGAGGCAAGATGCACTTACAACAACATGCCTTTTGAGAAAGATGATAACTGCACATCTTTCTAGTGTGTTTTATCAGGGCCTTTAAATACAAATATTGGCATGGCATACATGTAAATATAATATAGGAGTACAATACATGTCATTAGTCAAGAAAAATATATCAAATATTTCTGCTGGTCCTTTGCCATCAGCTTGTTCTGCTTTACATGTACCTGTATATCCGAATGTATTGTGCTTCGTCACTTGTACCTCACTACCAGTAAATGTAAAATTTGATAGCTACACGTACTTGTAAGGCCCTTTTTGTTCCACTTTTCCCCCTGTTATCATTATTTTTTGCTACCATAGAAAATATTGTACTGTAAAACAAGACTGTCTACTCATTAAATGTGATTCAGAAACCCTTTCGAGATATCGTTTCATATTTTGTTTCATAGCTGAATATCTTTCAATTTATAGCCGTGAAAAATATACCAAATAGAAAGGGCAAAAATTTCTGCACACGCTGTGTCCATGTTTGTTGCATGATCTTGTTATTAAACACCATTATTTTTGGAAAGGAAAATAATTTCTAACATATATAGTGTTATGGGACCCTAGAATGTGTACCACATACTTATTCACCTGTATTACGTAGGAATTTTGAATGGTGAATGTAAATTGATACTGTGGTCAAACAAGCATTCGGTACATTTGACATTTGAATTTGCAGAATTTGTTTATGTGCTGTTTGCATGTTTCGTCCTGTCAACATGAGCAGAAAGATCACCAATCAAATCTCTGGGATTTTGTCGTTAGGCTATTTTCGGAAGAGAGGAAATCTGTGTAATCGAATTTCTGAGACATTGCTTAAAAAAAGTGATACCTATACAGGAAATACCCGATTAAGGTCCAAGAATTTGAGGATTTTTTTTTATCATCTTTCGCAGCTTTCTCTCTCTCCCTCCCCTCCCATTCAGTTTAATTTAGATCATTGCTGTGACACATCTGTCACGTGTGCTAATGTGATACCTTAAACGTCCTTTTATATATTTAAAAAATGGAATAAAACAAAATCAGACAAAACACTAATATTATAGGAAACAGACAGTGAAAAGTTCAGACGTTTTGTTATGGCAAATTAACGTAGAATTTCTAAGGTAAGTAGGGAATAGATTCGTTTATGCTTAGAATGAAAATCCCTATGCGCGTCTGTTTAAAAAAACCTGTTTAATTGTACATGTAGGGACCAAAATTCATGCAAACTTGAGCTGACTTTTAAATATTCATATACCGTAAATCTCCGTGTATAAGGCGCACCTGTATTTTTTTATTTTTTTTGGGGGGGGGGGATCATTTTCTGTTGTTGTTTTGTTTCCGAAAACCCATGCGGGGAAGGATATTCGTTTAACATCGATGTGCAGTTGAAGGCGCTGATTTGTGCTTGTAGATTTGTCATAAATAATAGTAATAATGTCGTTTTTAGAAGAATGTATAAGATCAGTAATGTAAATTAAAAACAATAGAGTATCTAGGTCCTAGGATGGAACCTTGTGGTACACCATTTGTTATAGAAAAAATTTGAGGAATTATTATTATAAACTACATATTGAGATCTATTAGAAAAATTACTTTCAAACCAAGATGACAGACAAATTTGAGTGTTGTAGTTTCCGAGTGGTGAGTCAACTCACTGATTACTAAGCTGGGAGACATTGCCAGGCATAGCGCCATAAATCGAAACTAAAAAAAAAAAAATAATAATAATCTGTACCTGTGTATAAGACACACCCCCGACTTTCTTTTTTTTTCGGCGGCAAAAAAGTGCGCCTTATACACGGAGATTTACGGTACATTTGAACAAAAAAAATGTACATTGTATGTATGTACATGTACACATATGATGTAGTAGATTAACCTTCTTTCATTGTAATGTATAAGTTGTGTTAAAGTGTTGATATGCAATGTATTCATTTCTTGTAAATGTGTGCACATTGATCAATGATCTGTTTATCTAACTTTCTAAATTCAGCTGCATGGTGAAATTGTTGTCTAAAAATAATTTATTGATACACATCTGCATACATTTGTGCTTGTCAGTTACCCTATTTCACTTCAACCTACTTGTAAAGTTGTAATTATCTACATATAAATTAAATGTCTTTTTTTTTTCTTCTTTTAGTATTGGACTGTTTTATAATAATTCAATTTGCATCAGAGGTGCAGTGAAATATTTATCTGCTCCCTCCCTTTGAAATCTTCACTTGCCATTGTGACTAACACATGAACTGTCATCAAGAACCACAACTAAATGACCCTAACCCGATGTACTTTACCCCCCTACAGCCCCCCCCCCTAAACCCCAGACCCCTCTGAAATTCAATGAACCATGCATTACATTTTTTCTCTCCCTCTTCTCTCTGCACTTTGAATTTTCTTTCCATTTTACAGTCGCTATCGTGCAAAGCCAAAAAAAGTAACACACACAGGGAACCAGCTTTAGCACCATCAAAGGAAAAAAAAGGAATATCTCAACAAGTCATCTTCCCCTGGCCGACTCGGACGCATCTCCGCAAGGTCAAAGGTCACCCCGCTCATTTGTCCCAGGTGAAAGGTCATCAGCTGCACACTGAACCTTGAGAGGCAAATATCCTGTGAATCGACCATCTCTACATTTCTGTAAACTTTTACGGGGAAAGTCTATTTTTAATAAGGTAACCGGTGTATTTAAAAGGAATGGTAGTTATCCTTTAAGATGTTATGGGAAGGACTAATCTTAATCTCTCATTTTAAGTTTGACTAATCCCTTTCAGATCAGTTTCATCAAAAGTTTCATGGCCCGTAGCAGAAATTAAAAAAATATTATAGTATATCAGGCCAACCATAATGAGTATGGTTTCAATGTCATTATTATTGTTGTTATTATATCATTCATATAATTATTGTAAGTGATTACTATTCATTATCATTGATAATATTATTGTTGAGAACAGTACATACCCATTTTGAAAAGGGGCTCAGAAAATAGAGAAAAGGCAGTACCAATGCAAAGACTTTGTGAATTATCTGCACATGATTTATAGGCGTTCGGCATCCTAACTCTTTTATTTCAATGCTTGAAGCGGGTAAGATAGGGAGTGAACTCAGCATGCTATTACGATTGTTTTCATGAACCTTGGCTGAATATTGCTAAATTACGAGTGGAAATTCCTTTTGGAAATGGGACAGTGAACAAATAAATAAATATCCTTTTGGCTGCTATCTTTAATTCTTGACCATATTTCCGGAGCATAATATGATATGGTTGTGCAGAAGCACTGCATGCCCTCTGCCGAGCGTTAGAGAGGCATTAACTTCCACGAGGTTAACAGCCTTCTGACTACCAACGGATGAAATGTGCAATCGTGCATGCACAGTGTCAGCCAGATTGAAATGCAAATGAACATTGGAAATGCAAATTAAAAAATGAGATCCGTACCACACATTTGGGGAAGACTAAACAACTCAATCTCTCATATTTGAAGTTGACAGGGCTGAATCTTTGAAAAAATTTGAATAGAATTGTTAAGAAGTTGATATGCTGTGTTATTAAACAAAAACAAAAAGTAATGGTGGTTAACTTTAACAAGGTATGACATATATTCCATACCATACGTGGCCCTCTTGAATGAAATTATTCTAAATTCTTTACTTTCTGAGCCCTTTTTTAAGACATTCGTTGTAATTTGTAGATTGTAGCGCATATATTTGTAATAAATCAATAAAAAGACAATGAAACAAATTGTGGTTATTGTACGACAGCGAAAAAAGGGAAATTTTAGCTACGTTATTCTGTGTATAGCAGTAACGATTCGTTATTTAGAAAATACATGTTATTTAAATAAGAGAAGAGAAATTTAAGCATGTATGTGAATTGTATGTATATATTCTCCTTTAAATCTGCAATCCAAATAACTATATGTAAAGTGTCTTTTGTTTTAGTATATTCAATGTTAGATTTGTATCTTCAACAAACAGATTATTGTATAATTGGTGTTAACCAAGAAAAAACACCACACCCTATTATATATTGGTACAAAAAGAATATTCTGGTAATTTTTATTGCATTATTAAGAATTTATTATATAGTATGTGTTGCCGTATCTAGTAAGTATGCAACTTGTTTAGCATCGTGTAGATAATATTTACGATATGATTTGACTCTTTCAAGAATTTGTTTTCTTCTCAAAAAATTTTGTATTAAGCTTCACATACTAATGTTAACTCATTTGACATTCAGGGTGTTTTTCTCTCACTTTTTTCGTTTTCAGTAAGAAATGGTAGATACAGGCTTTTCTTCCCATTATAGAAGCATAAGTGCAATAAATGCATAATCTATTAAATGGATAGTGATAAAATAGTACTTTAAAGGATTTGTCATTCAAAAAGCGTATTGGGGATATGAAAAACATCTGATTTATGACAAAAATATTTACCAAACTTTTCATTCCGCATTCATTCTTCTTTTCTCCCCATGTTGATAAGACATTGTTTATTGGTTGTATGGCATTGAAAACTTGTCATGATTCCAGATATTACTGAAATTGCTGCCTCATAAAATGGCAAATTTATGGCACACATGTCAACTGTAAAACAATAAAGCAAAGCAAGCGTTGTGTAACAATGTCGCACAAGCATTTTTATGTAGAATGCAAGTTGTATTCACCTATCGACATGCAGGCACTATAATCTTTGAGCTAAAAGTTGTCATCTGTGTAATTATACTCCTCACAAAAAATAGCATACAAAAGCATGATTATAAATTGTGTTATTATGACTTTATTAAAAAAAAATGTTGTTCCTTGTTGGAAACTTATTTTTACATTCCATTCACTAATTTTGCAAGTTTAAATATCTTCTTGAAGCAGCATCCCTGCCAATGAACCATGGAATGTTTAACGATGCATCTACAAAGTGATAAAGTCCTAAATTATCAGCACAAAATAAATCCCTCACTCTGTATGTTCAAATTCATACAAATCAAAGAATTCTTGTCGTGTACATGTAGATGTATCTTTGCAAGCTTATAAGGTGAAAATAAGATGTGGTGCCATCTCAAAAATTCTGTCCTATTGAAACTATATGTGATTGAACTGTGATGCAAAAAGTACTTTGTTGCCAAGCTGTATACAAGCTACAACCCTTTGCCCCGTTCATACAATGATTTTAAACCGTTGTACGATCCATCTGGTCTGAATGAACCACCGGTGTGAATGAGGAATGTAGCCCTGGGTCTCTGCTCTTGTTTCACAAAACCATCAGAAGTAAGAGTTTGCCGACATCCCATTGAAGCGTGTGAACAACGTTTCATGGGATGTGAGCAAACTTCTACAAATGATGGTTTCGTGAAACAACGCCCAGATGGATTTGACACCGGATTTAATTCTGGGCAGGAAGAGGGTCGTATTAACATTCCATCTCAAAGTTTATTTCTTTGCGTGGCAGAAGACTAGCATTAGTTTATTTTTTCAAGTTTCCGCTCTTGTATTATAAAAACAAACAAACATGTATACATATATATTGAAGATATTGAAAAATTCTACTAGAGATGACTAGAAGTTTGAATTGGTGGAGATTGTGTAAAGTTCCGTTTTTGGTTGATTTTATTTTTCCTGTGTTACATTATGTTACTCCATGCTAGAAATTGATTTGATATTTAAAAGAGGATTTTTCTTTCTTCAGAGTGTCCCCCGTTGGCTTTAAAAAAAATGTAATTATTTTATAGAGCAGACGTGATCTTGCTTATTGTTAATGTGTGGCAGACTGGCAGTAGCATATTATTCCTGGGAGCTCATAAGAAATTGGAAAATTGGGGATTTGGAACCTTAGAAGGCACATTTTTGGGCCGATGAGAGGATTAATATATCATCACTATTCATGCGATGGCATACTCTACTGTAGGAACCTTTGTACTATCTTTCAAGATTTGAAGTATGATTTACTGTCTTGTTAGATGCAGAAGGGTGTTATCTCCATGTCAAATGAATGAGTTAACTCCCTTTTGGCTCTCAAGATATGTCATTCATCTGACGTTTAAAAGATATGGTACAAGGTCTGTGGAAAAGTAGGGTTCAAGGGGCTCCAGCACGCCCCACATTTTTTCAATTTATAAATCAACAGTCTTGCATAGTCACATAAATTTGGACCTTTTACTGAAATTGAGCACCCCTCGTGTTGCACATATTCAACAGTGCATATGATGGCTGGTGAGGGGATTATTTGGCAAAAATACTTGTCTCAAAATTCAGGTTGGAAAAAATAATAAAAACATACACTCACTTGAGCACAAAAGAAGCTAAAGACATCATACTCGTATTTATGAATTCAAGATCCTCGGTTGTTAAAAGATATTGTGCGAGTATGCTTTTATAGATATTGAAGGAATACTGTGCTGTGTACTTTCCATCAATGCACTACTATTTCAACACGGAGAGAAATGGAAAGTAGTTATTCCACATTTTAAACCAGAATAAATTGGAAGTGGTTCTGATTATATACTTCTGGATTAATCTTTAAACTGCCATGAATGTGCTACCTTCCGAATAGAAACATAATTGGGAATTTAAAAAAAAAAGTGAAACTGAACCTTAAGCGCATGTTAGAGTCGTTTCCTGGTATTCAATTTAGTATTAATGTTGTATCTTTATACTTGTATCTCGATGTTAAAAAAAGTTAAGAATAAGCAATGATCTAAAAAAAAACAAATGACGTTCATGGTTAGCTTCCACATTTGCAGTGAAAAAATATTTGTTCTAGAAAAGTCACCATTCGTATGAGTAAAGAAAATATTAAATGTATATTGTATTTGTGTTACATGTTAATAAACATGATTGTGATGAAAAATACAGTTCCAAGTGTATTTGTCATTCTTGGATGGTATCCCTAGCTTGTTAAAGACCGGCGATACTACCTGGCCAGAAGGGATTAGACCACCCAGCCAGGTCACTGACAGGTGGCTATCTCATCAACTCAGCTCTCAATAATAAGAAAAAGAGAATCGTGGGGGACCAACATGCACCGATTGGGGAAGGTTTCTTTATAGAGGGAGCATGTAGCTACAAGTAGGACAGTGGGGCTTAAAATGATGCAGTACATTAGCTTTCAAGTATTTAAACAAAAGCTAAGGGTAATCTTGAGTTCTGATAATGACGGCAAATGTATAAAGTGGACTGAAAATCACGCTCATTTATTTAAACTACAAATAAATGGAGTGATAAGGAAATGAGCTACATATTCACTGTCTCTTGAGAGTAAGTTATTTTTCAGCAAATCTACTTAGTTTATAGTGCAGGTAACCTTTCTTCTGTTTATAATTAGCTTGTTCAAACATATCTGCTCGTGCATGCTTTCAGTATCATTTCAAAACAGTTTCTCTCAAAATGCCTTTTCACAATCAAAACTCAAAAAGTGCTTTACTGTTATTTAATGGCAATTGTATGAAAGGAATATTTCCAGTGATGTTTGTTCAGCTTCGGTGGAATTTTTGTGTGGGCGAGTAAATGGATTTTAACAATTAGCCCCCGATTATTGATGTTCATGAGATCAAGAGTATACTCAAAGGGAGCATGTGAAGGACTGAAAAAAATGAGAGAGAAAGGGAGGAAGGAAGGGAGAGAGAGAGAGAGAGAGAGAGAGAGAAGGGTGGAAGTGTTAGAGAAAGATAGTGGATAAATTGATAGAGATGGTAGTAGGGAGTGAGATGAATAGAGAGAGAGAGAGAGACGGGGAGGGAGGGAGGGAAATCGATGGATTAGAGTAAGCATAATTTGATACTTCCTCCTACCTTTATTCCATTACCATATGATCAGAGGTTAGGGCAGGGAGGTGGTAAGTTAGGATTTGGGTTAACTGCATATAGATTAAGGGTATATAATTGATAGGGTTTGATGCTGCGATATACATGTACAATACTTCATGTCACATTCAATAACCATCATCTTTATCATCCTCCTTTCTAGCTCATTTTCCTACTTCTCTAAATCATCATTGTATAAATCAACAATCATTATATCATCATCACTGATGATCAGACATCATCATCATCATTAATTGCATGCATTCGTTTGTAGAGTTAATGACGTCATCATTGCTTTGTAAACATGGTTGATCTTCTTTGAGAATGAAACACCCGTATCATCCTCTACAAAACGGCATGGAAAACGACCCTGAGGTTGCTTTTAGCATTAATCAGAGGGATACAGAATCGACAGAGAATAATTGCAAGATGCCGAATGGAAATGGAATCGAACCGAAAAGGATGAGATACCCGTTTTGTGTCGTTTGGACGCCAATCCCATTTTTGACGTGAGTACAATTCTGTCCCACACGTTCGAATACATGTAGGCTACATTTTCCATATATTTGTATCGTAATCATGTCGATTGTCGGGGGGGGGGGGGGGGGCGGCTGCTTCATTTATGTCCATTGTACAGACGTACAGGGGCCCGTTCCTACAAACCGTCATAAGTCTAACTTCTTGACTAAATCAGCGTTAGTGAACAACTTGTCCGCTACGTGTTTCACCAAGCCCTCTTTGCCAAGATCAACGACAACATCCTGACTAAGGAGTTATGACCAACGAACTCAAACCAAGTAGAAGGATTGTGTCCGTTCACGTTTCACGCAGCGCAATGGCACCGCTCGAGTGCGCCCGCCGCCATTTTGCGTAGTACAAGAAATCGCCTGCGCATATGTATTGTGTACAAGCTCCTATTGCAATTGGAGGAAGGGACGTCCAGAAACCAGGGTTTTATTGTTAGTTTTGGTGAAAAATATCTTTACATATATTGTTTATGCCTTTTTCCAAGTCCCATACAGATGTTTGATGACTTGAATATTGGAATAAGAGCGGCAGCTTGGACAGTAGGGGAGTTAAAATTTTAGGGTTTTTTTTGCATAAAGACTAGCTGCCAGATATTATTTTCATCGCATATAGGCATATTAAAGATTTAAAGATTTGTCTAAGAAGTGTTAAGGAATGAAACATTGTGGCAACTATTCACATGTCTTTCCACATAATTGTGAATACTTTCATCTTTATTAAGTTTTTTTTTTTAACCTTGGCATTGCGCTATGTATTACATGAATGTATACAGTACATATCAAAACATCCATGAACTATTGCAATGGTGGATATGAAGAAAAAAATCCTCAATGGTGTGGAAAAAACTTTCCTCAAGCAAGCAATCATGGCACATTATGTTTATACCGGCACATTTTTATTCATTTTAACACACAGAGAAATAATCACATGTACATTTGCATTTGACTGACTACAATGTACAAAAGGCAAGATTTTCTCCCTTTTAGCACTCAAAACTTGAACATACTGCATTAATAAACTAGACATCAACAAGATATGATACATATGAATCAGTATTTCCCTCTCTTTGGTTTGTTCATGAAGCAATGTATGGATTCATCTGATTTCAGTGAAAACTTTTAAAACAGATTTTTACTCTAGATGAAAGTTGCAACTTTCATTTAGCTCAAGCTCTTTCAGTTGGTAAACATGGATACAACCATTGCAACTACAGTTTGAATTCACTAGTGTAGAATAGATGACACTGCACATTGAACAATAAAATAATTGGACAATTTTATAACAAAACAGGGATCGTTTGCATACACCGTAAACCTCTGTATACAGATTTTCATACATATGAGTGACTTCCTTATCTAATTTGACGAAACAATTTGTTTGTACACACATGTATGTGCCACTATGCCATCACCGAATACATTATCCATTATCAAGAAACATACTCACAATTGTAAATAGCTTTGGTAACCATATAAGTGCAACCAAAAGGATATGAAGGCACAAGTGATCAGAGTCAAGTTAAAAATACAAAATTTAAAGAAAATCCCTTTCCCTGAAACACGTTGACAATAATCCAGTTTTTTTTTATTTCTTTGATGCCTCTTTCGCAAATTCTAATCTCAAATTTAATTTATGCAATCAGATTCAAACTATACCTAAACCTGTAAGACAGAAGACAGGCTAGTGTCAATAATAGAATTACACAATTCCTTTCTCTCTGGGTAAGCCTAGATGTATAAAACACAAAATAGACCAATAGGGCAAACATCGTATATTATCCCTGTAGTGCACATTCTGTCATTTCAGTGGGAAGGAGAAGGTATGATGAAATAGTTTGTTTGAATTAGTATATTTATTTCATACAATGGTGAAATATTATGTAAAAAAATACACATAAATAAGATTGACCAATTTTTACCCTTTTACAGCAGAAATCCCCAAATATTTCAAAATGTATATGTCTTTAAAGATATACATGTACCAGAATAATGGGAGCTTCGCAAAATATTGCCTGGTGTTGTTTTTTTCTTGATTTGTATTTCAAGTGCTGTGCTTTACTAGGCCATATGAAATCACTACATAATCTACACATATTCATCTGAGGAGTAAGTTTTAGAGGACGTAGGAAGGTTCATGGAGGTAGCTTCTTTAACTGCCATGACTGACAGGTCGTAACTTTCACAATGACCAACTTTGATGAGTAAAATTTCTTGTGTTTAATTTACAACAATTTAAATGTCCAAAATTAAGATGTAAATTTTGAGTAAATTCCAGTAAATTTCTTACAATAAAGCTTGACAGTCTGACGACTCACGGGAAATTGTGTCACTATTAATATCAGCGCCGCGATGCAACATGTTCATAAGTTCAAGTTAATCTTCAAAGTAACTTGAACCAAGTTTCACCAAGTCAAACAAAGAAAGTGACCTGCTTATGCCCCAATGATCCCCCCCCCCCCAAAAAAAAAAAACACACACACAAAACAGTACAGTATTCTCTGGATATCATGTATTCGATATTATCGGTTTGTAATACTTTGCAGCTCTGTGGAATTCAATATTTTTGATAGTTCATAGCCGATGTCATTGAGCTCGAGCGAAAACAGTTCACAAACATGGAAATGAATAGATGGGACCGAAAAAATACACGCTTTAGTCTGTGGCTTTCTGCGTTCGGATTATCATGCAAAACTGTTTATTTTTGCCATGTTTTTAATGAAGTGATCACCTAACTATGAAAGGTTATTCCAGAGCCTCTTTTAAGGCGATTGGTGCAGTTGAAAGCTGCACAATATGGCATTTTGCAGACGAAAGTTGAGCATACACATAGCACGTAGTCGCAGTTCGCTTTCACAACGCTCGTTCTATCCAAGATGGTGCACGGCGGTGCAATTCAGCGGTCTCGGAAAATCCTTCTACTTACTTGGATTTCGATGGTTATGACACCTCTGACACCGTCGTATCTCTGTCATAACTATTTAGTCGATGGGCAGCGCCATCACATGTCATTTATTGGGTAGACTATGGCTGGCAAAAAAGGACAATAAATCCTCCAACTATGATTTTTCTACACATTCACTTAAACAGTGAATTATCGTTTTTTGTATTTGATAATCTCATGAAAATATGCCATGTTTGTATTTAAGGATTTTTCCACTTAAATAAACTGATTATACGCCTTTATTTCCACATTGTAAACTCGTCGAAGGGATATGTATTTTGCCACGGCAGGCAAGCCATAGTTTGAAGTGTATTCTTTAGTTTTCAGACCCATATTAATTTCGAGATGAATTCTATTTTCAATTATGTAAAGTGAATGGTTTAAACATGTGTTTTAACCTTTGAAATATTGAAGTTTTGTAATTTTTATATTGTGCTGACGCCAAAAACATTGAACACAAATTTCATTACATCGTATTTTTTCAAAGAATAATATAAGGGTGTATTTTATAAACTATCAAATGAAAATATTCGGGGGGTGCCCATCTCAACAACAAAACTGATTCACTGGTCATGTAATGAAAAACTCACAATTATAGTTTACAAGTACTTCAATTGTTTAATCTACACAAATTTGGAAGTATATTGGATCTCTTATTTCTTGGTATCATTTTCAATCTTTTTTTATTATTAATTCATTTAAATAATTGCATTTTCCCTAATATTAATTTTGTAATAATCTGGTTGTATTGCGACTAAGGCTAATTCTCGGCTCCTCTTCTCGCCGATAATATCGATCTCACGAGATACTAGCTAGTAAGCTCTTCTTGAAACGGTTTAGGAAGATCAGAGACATCTCCGTAGTTGGCGGATAAAGTTATGACGGTCTTGTCGTTGGTTTCTAGGAACGAGCCCCAGGTATCGTGACAACACGATTTCCAAAACTAAGACTCAGATATTATCATAGAATAGTTTAACATTATTCATTCTGCAGTAGATCTAGATCTACAAGACTCATTTCGTCGAAGTCAAATGTATCAAATTGACAACAACAAAAAATGAACAATCAACAGACAAGATTGACATGGAATTTGTAAATGTAGAGTCTAGACTATATTGACATATCCATCATTGGAAAATGACAGACATAAATGAAACTCGATTTAAGATCATTAATATCATCTCTCCCCATCTTCCTACAGGTATGTAGAAGTTGAACGCAAATGTGTCTTTGTGAACGAAACATGAAATATATATGCATCACTTCTTTTTGTTTTCTAGTCTTGACTTGAAAGCTATTTCAAAAGCCGAGTGATGGCGCAATCCTTCTGATGGCGCGACCCCTGAGATTGATTGGTCTGCATAAATTGGAAGTAATTTGTGTGTTTTATTTTAAAGATGTTCATGCGTGGGTATATAGTCGTTGTTGAAGTAGGCAACTTGGCGATCACTACACAACACTGAGCCAACAGGTATTACGCTCCGATGTGTACGTCTGTGTGCTGCCCTCTATATACCCATGCATGAGCAACTTTAATAAATGTTAGTATTACATGTACATGATTCTCAGCAGAGTATTTATATTGTGCTGTGTTTTTTGTTTTTTTAACTCTGCAGGTGGTTGTTCCCTTTCATCGGTCACATGGGTATCGCAACGTCACAGGGAATCATCAGAGATTTCGCTGGTCCTTATTATGTCTCAGTAAGTCCTCTATTAAATTCACTTTGCATGATTCAAATGCAATACATAAATATAATGTAGCTAAGCAAAATACAGTGGCACAACAAAATTTGTTGGGACCGCAAGAGCAGTAAGATATCAGATCTTATGTGGCATAAAAGTAAGTTTAATCAAGGTGTAAATAATATAAATGTGTACATGTACTGTATATTATTTACATGTAGCAGCTCAGGGTCACACCATTATTTCTTTTGGATTATTATACTAGATATAGGGTTTGACCCTGAAAACTCTTCTTTTTTTTCACAAGAAAAACAAAATTATTGAAGGTGCCCTGGTCAATGATGTTCTGTATAATGCATGTGTACATGTACATTATCTCATTGAAATTCTTAATATGGCATTTTTTTCTACACCTTTATTTTTCACTTCAGTTATATAACATCATATTTTACCCTACTCCCAAAATGCCTAGTGAAATACCTTTCATATCACTATTTTCTTCTATTGCTGTTTGTTTACCTACTGTCTGATGATTGTGAGGAGTGATGACTTTATATATTTTGTATTTTAATCTGTAAAAACTTTGGCCACTATGACATATTTTTATTTAAAAAAACATTCCAATTCAATCCTCTATGTATAGTGGATGAGAAAATACATGTACATGTTTATGTTTATCAACGTGCTTCATGGCGTGTCAAAGTCGTTTATATTCATAATTACAATCGCTTGTATTTTTAACTAACCAAATTAGGAGAATGACATGGCTTTTGGTAGACCTACCAAATACTGGATTCTGGAGTCGTCACAAGTTAAACCAGGAACGTGGGACACGTCCGTTCATGAAGCATCGGAGGAATATAAATCTAGAATGGTATGTATGATGTCAGCAATGGTGTAGAAAGGATTCCTTCCAATTTAGGGGGGGTGGGGGTGGGCACAAGCCAGAAAAATATATTGAAAGAAAGAGGAAGGAAAAGAAGGAGAAGAAGGAAAAGAAGGAGAAGGAGAAGAAAAAGAAAGAGAAAAAAGAAGAATAAGAAAAAGAAGGAGAAAAAAAGAAGAAGAAGAAAAAGAAAGAAAAAGAAGGAAAAAAGGAGGAGGAATGGAGAAAAGGAAGAAGAGGAGGGAGAAGAAGAAGATCAAGTCTCTGCCTTTCTGGTTTTGTAAATGCGACCTTTATGAAAAACCACATTTGCCTCCATCTCTTTCATCATGATATGGGCTGTGATGCATATTTCTTAAATAAATAAACTATCATTATATTATTATAATTTGTCACTTAATTTTGAAAAATAAGATTTGTTCCCTTTTGTGCAGAAATATTTCATTACAATTTTAATTTTTAACTTTGCTTTTGATGCCACAATCTACCACTCTCTCTCTCTCTCTCTCTCTTTCTTCAGCCCCTTGCTCTATCCCCTGCCTCTTTGATTTTTTTTGTAATCACATTTTTTGTTTTCTCCATCTTTATCTATTTGCAGCATAATCTTTTTTGCGACAACTGTCACTCGCACGTTGCCATGGCTCTCAATCTAATGAAGTATAAAGAGAGCACGTCCTGGAACATGATCAAACTCTGCTTTCTCATGCTCATCCATGGAAAATATGTTGGGTAAGTTCTTTATCCCAAGTTGATGGTCTCTATCTGACTCTCTTTCTCTCTCTCTCTCTCTCTCTCTCTCTCTCTCTCTCTCTCTCATTGTCTCTCTAGTTCTCTTTCTCTCTGTGTGTCTCTCACTCCCTCTCCGTCTCTGTCTGTCTCTGTCTTTCTGTCTCTTGCTCTCTCCATCTCTTTCTCTGTCTCTCTGTCTCTCTCTTTCTTTCTCATTGTCTTTCTCCCTCTCTCTGTCTTTTGCTCTCTCTTTATCTGCTAGCCCTTTTTATGTATGCAGTGTTGTTATAGCTGTATTAAATGAAAATAAAATTGTATTTACAAGGGTTTCATGAGAGGTAAAAGTAATGTAGTGATTTTTATCTAATCAAACAATTGACAGCATTATTTTTAACATGGCTCTCTTTGAGAGGTTAATTTAAAGGATCTCAATAATGAGTTTAGGCGAAAATCAAAGAAAAATATTTTGCTAGGTTAGTAGATTCGGGGGGGGGGGGGGGGGGGGGAGGAGGGGCAGATTCTTTGATACATGCAAATTACATGGTTATTTTAAAAAGAAAATAAGGGGGTGGGGGCAACTAATTCAACACTTCCCAGGAGTTATGATTGGATAATATGCACCTACAGTATGACACTTCCATTTTTATATGTTATCTCAAACATTATTTCTTGTTTTCCCTCTGTCCAGATTTGGTGGATTTTTAAAGACGTGGCTTCCCGCGGTCATCTTCTATGGAACCATTATCACCCTCATCGTGGTGTTCTCGTAGAACCTCTGCTGCCCCACCCGGCAACCTTCGCTACCCCACTCCAAAAACCTATAAATTCAACCCTATCGGTGTACCCCTGAGCTTGGATCTTGGAGGAAAGAGTCTCTAACCTTTAGGAAAAATCCACTTGTTGGTTGTTATATTTTTGTTAAAGACCAACAAGTGGGGGTTACACATACTACTACTGCTACACAATCTGTGCCCTATGTACATACAAATTGTCATCAATAACATATGCTAAATTTTGATTACAAATTTGCTCTGAGTCAGCCAATCAAATGCAATGAAATCAGGTATTGTAACTTGTTTTTACAACAAGTTCTATGAAGCAGGGCCCAGATTGTAGCAATAGGTCATAAAAAATAAAATCGATATGCTGATGCTCTTTGGTAAGGCATTAGTCCTCAATTATAAAAGTCCATTTGATAATATTTAAGCCCCAAGTCTACTGATTGCTTTCTTCAACCGCACATTTGTTTTCTTAGCAGTCAGGTAAAATTATCAATCAGAATAGATATGTATTTTATGTCAGCTTGCAACCAAGTGAGCATTTATATTTTGTAGACGAAACAAGCTCACTATTCTTCATGTTTTTCAGGATAATATGGTCAAAATTGATCTTAATTAAGATGCTGCCTTTATGAAGCTATGCCAGGAAATTAATGAAAACTGTTCTTGTTGTGAAGGCTACATGTAGCATTCTTCATGATCCTGTTTCTCCTTTCCTTATATTTCATCTTCATCTTCATCTTCTACCACTCCCTCTCCTTATGAATAACGTTTCTCACTATTTCTTAAATATTCTTCATTATCTTCTCTTTACTGTCTTCAACTTCAATTCCATTTGTTGTTTTTTTCCTTCCAATGTGATTTTATGTTCCAGATATTAACATTCTTCTTTTCTTTATTTCTGTACCAAATCATGCTTATGACTTTAACAATTTCTGTAAATTTAATTGACCAGATTATGCTTCTGAATATATTTTTAGCTTTAAAATCAAAACATCTACTTAAAGACAGCTTATAATTTTTTCAAAAAAATAATTATGTAAGGTTACAAAGACTGTGCGTTGAGATGTATTATCTTCTGCGTTGGAAGACTGCTTGAGATATGCCATTGTAAAATCGATTGGATTTAAGTTATTAGGTACACGTTTTAAAGATGGACTTTTCTAAGAGTTGTAATCTTCACTGAAATATTGATATAAAATATGGAAACGGAAAAGATGACACCCTTCACAACCATTATTGCAACTGCAGTTACATTCATGCATAACATATTGTTATTGAAGTCACTCAAGTTAGTGCATGTTCTGAAATGCTTTGTTTAATTGATAAGTTGGGCATCTTTTGTGGATATACAATTAATGATAAAGGTAAATTTTGTGTTTCTGGAAGAAAAAAAAGACCTGCTCATCACAATTCTCAACACTCTATTTCTTTGGTGGAATCTGCATGAAAGGAGTAAAGACAGCTTGAAAATTCCATTGGAGGTAGATATGCAATAGTACTCAGATTTTTTTCTCATCAAAATATGCCAATGTGCTTTCACCTAATGTAGTCTGAAATATGTCCCCTCATACCAGTTTGGAGAAATAACATCTGATTGCTGCAACTTCTTAAAATAACAAAAATGTAACTGCTGTCAATATTCTAGGGTTTTTGAAAGAGTATTATACTCTTATGTGATAAATACATTTAACTAAACAAATTCTTTTTTCATAGATGGATAAAAAATTAAAAAATTATTAAAAAATATTAGGTATTTAATTTGCTAGATATTATACATATATACATGAAAATATTGCCTCTGTACCTGCAATTGTTCATGCTTTACTTTTGGATAAAACAAGCAAATACCTTAGGATTGAAGTGTACATATTACAATGCAAATATTTTTGTGAAGAAAATAAACAGGGTACCTTTTTTTTTTGTTCAGATTTCCAAAAATGCAAGCTATTCATCAAACAATTTCCCTGACTTTTTTTTTCTCCAATGTTTTATTGGTCCTGAACTTTGAATGTTCTATGCATTTATTGTCAAAATTTCATTTCATTGTTATTTATTTTTAGGTAATCTTGAATTTAGATGTTACTTGTATTGAATGTGCATATAATTTATAAATAATTAAATGATGATTTATGCTACTTGTGAATATGATTATGAATGAAAAGATTAGATAATTGATTGATAACTGTGTTCATATAAATATTCAATTTTCTTACCATTCTATCTGTTGAAATGGTTTATATATATTTATTCAAGAATGATCACACTTTGAAGTGCAGAGGATATTCCAGCTGTATTGAGGCATGGTGGCTAAGTTGTAGAGCAGTGGTCTTGTAACCAGCGGTCCCGGGTTCGAAAACAAGTCAATGCGCTCGTGCCCTTATTTGGCAAGACATTAATCCTCATTACCAAGTCCCTCAGAGGGGACTTAAAGCTGTCAGTCCCCTTGTTGCTCAATTAATCATTTGTTGAGAGCGAGAAGGTGTTCTCATAGCACTTTACATGGACTTAATGTCCCAATGGCTCTAAATACATGATTACTAGTTTGATTACCAGCCATGCATAACAGTGTCTGCGTTGTGAGACTATGCTAATGGCATACTGCATAGGCTCTGTACTTCAGCTGCTCAAGACACAGCCAGAGACTGTCAGAGCTAGGCTGTGCTCAAGACTTTAGTAATGGTGGTAAAGTGTCAAGTTAGAGTCTGTGACAGCAGTTTATGTTGATTAATATACAAATAATGAATGGTTATGAGTTCAATAGTGCGAATATTTTCATGAGTTGAAAGATTAAAATTCAATGAGGCGTCAGCTGAGTTGAATAGAATTAACGTTAATCTTTCAACAAATAAAAATATTCGCACTATTGAACGAATGAAAAACATTCATTATTTGTTTAATACAACATCAAAGAAGATCTAACTGAACGTTAATTAACAAATTATGCTTTCCTCCTTATATTAAAGTACAATGATTAAAGTCTATATTGACTATATGCACTTCAACTGTATTATTTAGTTGATCAGCGAGCTAGTATACGGGATTGTTTGTTATTATACATGTACTTATTTTAGATGATTAACATATTTGAGATTATTATCTTTTACTCTGGGTCTCGGCATATGATTACTTTTGATTATAAGTACAATGATTAAAGTCTATATAAACTAAAAGCAATATTTAAAAGCCAACCTGTATTATGCAGTTGATCTGCAAGTATATTGGATAGTTTTGTTATTGTATTTCTTCTTATAATCATATTTGAAATAATTTTCTTTGACTCTTACCCTCGGCATATGATCACATTTTAATAATATCATAATAAGTATTAAAGGTCTATATTGACTGAATGCAATATTTAAAGATAAGCCTATATTCAGTTGTTTACTGTCTAGCAAAAATACTGGATAATTTGTTATTGTATTACTATGTATAAACAGGTGTGTATTCCTATTTGTGATCATTTCTTTAACCAGTTCAATGCTAGGCCTACAATAACTTACGCTGGAGTCTACATAAAAATGTGTTATACCAAAATCAAATTGTATCCAACAGGTTAAAAAAGTGCCCTCTAGTACAATTTTTGACACTTTGGAGAATGTATAATTATTATAATCAAAGAGTTTTAAATAGTCCTTTCACAATTTTGCAATTTCACATTATTGTATAAATAAAAACTATGATGACATACATCAGAATATATATTTCTTGGAAATTGTTTGTTTGTTTGTTTGTAGTGCAGACAGTGTATTGGGTGGTGCGTTGTATAATATTTATATTATTATAATCGGCGTTTATATAAAAATGTGCAATTCATTATTATGGCATATAGAGCAATTAATGTTCAAAAACAAATTAAGGAAATTAAGATGAGAAGATAAGCATGGAGGAAGATTTTTGTAAGAAAAAGAAACTAAAGAGTAGGGGGAGAACATTGAATGTCAGGGAGGACAAGAGAGAGATAAAGAGAGAAAGGGGTGGAAGAGGGTGAGAGTGATCTTTCTTTGATTTGATTGTAAGATCTCTTTGGAGATCTGGAAAAATTGCTACAGTCGACGGTATTTCGCGTCGATAGAGCGGGGTATTGGGATAAGTTTTCAACTAGCAATAATCGCGCCTCGGATAAACCTCATTGGCTACGATACTGCCTCTGCGCAAAGATAATTTTGCTTAGCTTTTGCGAGGAATACGAGATTTCACACCGTAACATGTTGTCATGGTGAGAATAATATTTAAACTTGGTAATTTGATAGCTTTTATTACATACATAATGCTAAGTAATGAAACATTTCTACCTGAACTGAATCAAATCGTATAGAAGAAAATATAAAAAGAGCAACGAGTACTAGAATTACACTGAATGAAATTCAAATTCAAGTTTTTAAAGGAAAAACGTTAGTTTCATTCACCGAAGCACATCTCATGAACAACCAGTGTGTGAATAAATTATACAGTCAGTCCGCAGCGTCCGCGAATTCGCACGTATTTACACAAGTCGTATGCAAGCTATCTACGGTAAAAACGGACATTAAGCAGAAAACATTGGTACATGAAAATTACGATTGCATCAATGTTTCTCTATGGATTCTTTTCATTTATGTACCAATATAAAGAAGATAGACCAAATAATCCATCTTTACAAAACATGAAGATATTTTTTAACGTTAACTTGCTCTAAAAAGAGCATTTAAAACAGTCTAAAAAACATAGCAACTTAACGATATGCATCATTAAAAAAATATATGAAAACGCTACTGCATCAAAAAGTTATTTGGTTCATTGTGATGATAAATATACAAACTTTCAAACCATCACTGTTTCCTTTGTTTTACTTCTTTATACCAGTCAGGAACACGGTAAATACAACACCATGTTCATTCCAACATATTCAACAGCGGTGGAAATTCGTTTTATTACAATGCCATAAAACATTGGAATTCCCTTCCCAATGGTGTAAAAGAAATAGGAAACTATGATCATTTTAAGAGGAAATTAAAGGAATACCTAATACTTGACAGTCAGAGAAGAGAAGTGAATGACATGTTGTGTGATTAAAATTTTTATTCTTCTGTCGGTTCATACTTTTTCATGTTGTATATACTTATGTTTTCGTACGTTATAGAAATTCTACAAATTCATCATTTTCCTCTTCTTCCTTCTCCTCTTTTTCTTCTTCTCCTTCTTCTTTTTTCTTCTTGTACTTAACATCATTTCTATCATCAGTTTAATGTTGTTATTATTATTATTATCTTTAATAAGTAGTTCTTTTAATTTTCTTATCTGTCTGTAAATATTACTATTTTAACTTATTAATTTTATACATGTCTGTAAGGGACCCCACTAGAAATAAGCTCTCGAGCTTTCGTGGGTTATCCTGTTCAAGCTGACTTTTTTGATCTGTTATTATTGTATATTGTTGTATGTTGGAAGCTTGTCGAATAAAAATCAATCAATCAATCAATCGACACAGACGATATGCGTGGGTCATCAGAGTATGACGTCATGTGCCAACCGGGGGATACTACGTTATATCTAGCTTTGCGTTGATTATCGATGTTCTGTGTCCGTGCGCTGTACATGAACACGTACGGAGGATAGACGGTGATTAGAGATATTCACGTATTACACTCTGGTGCGTTACCCCCAGACGTAGAGGCTTCGTATTGCCCCATATACTCATTATTGTGTATCATACTCATGCGCTACTTAATAATAGAAGTCTACAGAGCTGCAGAGTACAAGTTGGATGCAGATACGTACTCAAGTACACTATAGAATACCACCTCTAGAATGAATAGGAGAAAGTGGGGAGGGTTTAAGTGTCTTTATGTGCTATTTTTTGGTCAGGCTGTGATATCATTTTAACAAAGAAGACACATTTCCTTCTCAAATGTATATTTGTGAAAATACAAACTTTCGGGGGGGGGGAGCGATTGGCATTGGTATTGTGATTGAAAAATGAAAATATGATTGTTCCCATCCCTGCTTATAAATCTTATGGCTGTATTGCATGCGGTTGGTTGTAAAAGTTCTGAAATTTTTCTGTTTTTATTTAAATTGTAAACCATGGACTAATCAATGAGATTGAGAAGAGCCTTAATCATTAATTTATTTTGGTAATCCCCAGGCATTCTTTGATAGTAATATTTTATTTGATGTTTCTTTTGTCAATTTATGTAACTCCAGTTCATGTGTATTTTTAGAAATAAAATAATTACAAAATTCTTTCCCTTATTCTCTTTTCTGTTTGTTTTTGTTTTATAGTGACCCGCAAAATATATATCTGATCATTTATTTTCTGTTTTTGTTTATATGGTAATTACCATCGGATAGAAATTTTAATGTGTGGTGGATTGAAAGGGCGCAAATAAAATTAATAATATTCTAATTTT